AAATTTCACACCTTCTCGAATTTTTTTCTAGAAAGTGGGTAGGATTTCGAGGTTATGTCTATTGACCAAAAATGATTGTAATTGCCCCCTGCAACTAAAAATAATTTTTTCTGAACGATTTGAAATTTTTTTTCGCCGAAAAATTTGTCCACCTTCTCGAATTTTTTTCTAGAAAGTGGGTAGGATTTCGAGGTTATGTCTATTGACCAAAAATGATTGTAATTGCCCCCTGCAACTAAAAATAATTTTTTCAGACCGATTTGAAATTATTAATTTTGTCGGAAAATTCAACACCTACTCGAATTTTTTTCTCGAAAATGCGTACAATTTCGGGGGTATGTGTAATCACCAAAAATGATTGTAATCAGCCCCTGCAACTAAAAATAATTTTTTTAGAAGGATTCGAAAATTTTTTTTTTGTCCAAAAAATTTCGACACCTATCCCGTCTATTTTTCTTAAAAATTGTTTTTGATTTTTAATAAGCTGAATTATGGGTAACGTAATAACACAATTTATTAGTAGAAAATAAAATATATAAAATTCGAACGCTTTATATGTCAATATTTAGTATCGACGTCGCTGCTGTATAATTAATTTGATGTATTGATAGGAACGTTATGGAGAGTTGCTGTTCGAATGCAGTAAAATAGAAAAAAAAACGGTGGAAATAGAGGGGAAGTATGATAGAAGTGAATGGCGGTAAAGAAATGGAACACGAAGGAAGTAGAAAATAGAAATAAGAGAGGAACTTATCGGGGGCAGGTTGTTCATTTTGTAGGAACGGTTCGTGGTGCGCAGACGCTTTTCCATTTTCATCGATGATACAGTGTCGGATCGTAGACGCGAATTCGAGGCTGCACCCGGCAACAGATTCTCAACTGCGTCTATTTGTCACGTTATATCGACCGCTAATTTATCCTGGCAACTGCGCTACTAGCTTTTCTAGGCTTTTTAAACAAACGCCGGTCGGCGAACTCAGCCAACCATTCGGTATTGCGAAATGATTTCACATTGATTTTAACAACCATTCAACGATTTTATAACTAAAATTAACTCCTTTTTTACATTATGCATTGTTCTACCAAAATGGCACGACTAATTTTTTGTACACAAATTTCAGAAACTTTTGATTCTGTGTATTGATGGAAAAGTGGAATGCAAAGAATGCGGAGAGAATAGAGGCATGTGTGTAGCTAAGTTTAGTAATTCAGGAATCGGGTTAACTACTATTAATAGTAGTTTATTAATATACACATGTGAAATATTATGCTGGGTTGGTTATATAGGTTTATAACAAGATATCAGAAATAAACAAGGAAGTAGTATATTGGAACTAATATGAACATTTATGTGACTTAATAACCATCATAAAATTATTCATAAACATACTATTAACTGCTAAAATAGCAAGCAATATTTTATTAGATGTTACTCTAGCAGAAATGGAAAATATACAGCAACTAACTTTTAGAGAAATGTTATCAAAAATCTTCAAATAAAATCCTTGATGTCTCCGAAAGACTTCATAGGCATAGGTCATTAAAGTGGCTATTGTTTACAGAAAAATTCATTTAATTTGAAAAAATGAAATTCCCCTCCATCGACGTTTCTCCGAAATATTTTTTTAGCATCGTTAGAAAGAAGATATTTTCAAGTTAGGTAAATTGCACGCCAGGTATAATTTTATTTGAGGTAAAAATATTTCACGCGGTACACGTTGCACGAGGTGCATTGTACATTGCATAACAGAAGGCAACTTCGTTCCTTGCTCCGTGGCCAATCGTTCGTTCGCGCAGCCGCGCTTCCGTTTTTATAGTATCCACCCTCTTCCCTTTTAGCCACTACGTCGACTACATTGCCCGGCAATATTCCTTTTCTTGGGTCAGTGAAGATTTAATTGGCGATTTGCTTTCGCGATGAGGATTACCGTGGCTCGTTGTTGGTACTGCATCGATTTTTCCCTGCATTATGATGTGCAATGAAAACCCTCGTCCAAAATGCAACAATTCTATCGATAGCGAAAGTATTGCTCGAAATAAAAGGTCACGCGCGGGTCACCGATCACCTGCACGATGAGAACTGCACTGCACGCGATGATTACACTGTACACGATGGTATTATTAAATATTGGAACATGTTTCATAATAGTGCATCCCTCGTTAAATATATTTTACTCCGGTTGATATTTTCGTTACACTGCATAGAAAGTATACAGGGTGTCCGACAACCCCTGGGAAAATTTTAATGGAAGCTTCGTTAAAAAGTTATTAACGTTTAAAGTTCCGTTCGTAATGAATTTTTTTCTAGAAAGGGGGTAGGATTTCGGGGGTAGGTCTATTCACCAAAAATAATTGTAATCGACCCCTGCAACTAAAAATAATTTTTTCAGAACGATTTAAAATTTTTTTTTCCGTCGAAAAATTTCACACATTCTCGAATTTTTTTCTAGAAACTGGGTAGAATTTCGAGGGTATGTGTAATGATAAAAAATGATTGTAATTGACCCCTGTAGCCAAAAATAATTTTTTCAGAACGATTTGAAATTTTTTTTTCGCCGAAAAATTTGTCCACCTTCTCGAATTTTTTTCTCGAAAATGCGTAGGATTTTAGGGGTATGTGTATTCACCAAAAATAATTGTAATCGACCCCTCCAATTAAAAATAATTTTTTCAGAACGATTTGAAATTTTTTTTTCGCCGTAAAATTTGTCCACCTTCTCGAATTTTTTTCTCGAAAGTGCGTAAGAATTCAGGGGTACGTCTATTCACCAAAAATGATTGTAATTGACCCCCGTAACTAAAAATAATTTTTTTAAAACGATTTGAAATTTTTCATTTTCGTCGAAATTTCATTACCTACCTGAATTTTTTTCTAGAAAGTGGGTAGGATTTCAGGGGTACCTCTATTCACCAAAAATGCTAACAATTTACCCTTGCAACCGAAAATAATTTTTCCAGAGCAATTTGAAATTTTTTAATAATTTCTTAACGAAGCCTCAATCGAGAAATTGATATTCTTGATTTTCGTCTTTTTTCCCAGGGGTGACCGAACACCCTGTATATTACACGAGTTAAATAAAAATTCGATGCTGCTTTCGTTCGATAACGTCGTATTTTTAGTGGTAATAACATCGATTGGAATAAAAATTCATTAAAATGCATTAATGAATGCAAAGACTCTAACACCATTACCATCGTTTGGGGTGATAGTACTTGACGCGTTTTAAAGTTGTAGAATTTTACAACGCGACGAAGTAGCGTCGGGGAAAGTTCCCAAAGGAGGGTGGAAAAAAAAAGTTGAATCGCAGGGGTGAGCTCGTTGACATCGGACTATCGTCGTAACAATATAATCGAATAACGCGTCTGCGGGGTAACGTTAAACGGATTATTGTTCTTTTACCTCGTAATATCTTGACGGGACAAGAAGCACGCGACTACGCGTACGCATTAGACGAACGAGGGGGGGTGAATAAGAATGATAACTCATACTTTCGTTCCGCGGTTAATAACTGCTAAGAAGTTAAGAAACAACGTCTGTTTTAACTTGGCAAATATATAACCCCGGTATTTCAAGCTTCGCTGTTATTGGATTAACAACGAGCCAGAATAAATTTTTATTAGAGGGTTGATAACCCCTTACGAGCCTCCTCTTTTCCTAGCCCCCGCGACCGTAATCTTATTTGGTTAACTATACATAATTGCAATTTCCAGTGAGCGATAAAAATATATTAAAAATGTTTTTATATTAATAGCGGATGTTTTACACCCTTTATATTTTTTATATTACAAGATACAGTTATGATTACTTTTGGGGGGTGAAAAGTCAGCTCGAACCGTGTGTACATTTAACGTTAAGAGATCGGGGTTCGGGTTGTGTGGTATGAAAATAAACGATTGCTCCTGAGGTTGCAGTTTTAAAATTGCCCTTACGCGATGAGCTAACCCATTCAGAAGGTCGTAATTAATTATTGCGGGGCGTCGCGGGGTTCTTGAACCAAGAAAATAATTGCACGTCGAGGGGGTCGAAGGAAAACCGTGATACCCTAATCACCCTGTACATTCACTCTCGGTCGTAGACACCGAGCGACTCGCCTGACGACAAGACTCGTCTTGCGCAGATCCGCGAGCGGAAGTATGAGAACTGGCTTGGAATCACGCATGCGACAGGGGGTGTTGGCCGAATGCATCTGTAGTGGGGGGGTAAGTAGGGGCAGACAGACGAAGGAGAGGGGGTGAAAGGGGTGAGATGCACGTACAGCGTGGAAAAGTTAAAGAGGATAGAGAGTGGGGAGGGGAGAAAGTGTAAAAGCGATGGAAGGGGTGAAAAATGCAAACACCGAGGACCGAGGAACGTAGGGAAATATTTGGACAGGATGGATCAGAACTGGGGAAAGAGTGAATCATGAAAGTGGTGGTTGGAAGAAAAAAGATCGAGCGGAGAAAATTACTGACTGTAATTGTGTAACTTTAGTATACTTAAAATTGTAAATTCACTGTCATTAGGAATACTGTAAAATACGAGGCACATCAATATTTGTATAATTCGAGAAAATGTCGAGGACATATTTAACCACAGAAAAGTACTTGTAAAATAAATGGGAGGTCATTTAAAAACGTGCCATTAAATCTCTATTATTTGTCGCTAATGACTTTGCAGTTGGCGTTGAAGAAAAAAAAAATTTTCCAAGTCCCCCGAAACACGGTTTGGTCATTGTCGCCCTTTTTAATTAAAACTATTTTCCCCCCTAAAGAGGACGATTGTTAAAACAATCTGCGAGAGAAAAACGAGCTGTTGGGTCTGAGGGGAGGGGATGATAGTAAAAATCGCGAATAGGAAAAGGAAGGGTGATGAAAAAGAGGCGAAAGTTAGACGGTAACAAGATAGTGGGAAACAACGGTGGTAGAGAAAAGGGGTTGGCGGATAGAAAGCGTGCGCAGGAAGGGTGGGCCGATGCAAAATCGTTCTGGCTGCACAGTCGCAGGAAAATCGAAGCCAGCCGCGCCAGTGTGCCGCACACCAGCGCAGCATTCGCTTCCGTTTCCATCGAGCGACCATACGGAGCCATGCTGCTCGACGCTGGTTGACTCGCGACTCCCAATCGGGAGGAAGATCGCCGATCGGAAGTGTCCGTCCGCGGGATTAACGTCGGTGATACGTTTTGAACGCCCCGAGCGAAACCGATTCGTGTTACCAGTGGCTTCGATCGATCCCCCGGACTGATTCCATTAAATATCCGCCATTTTGTTTATGGGGAAACATGATTTTCATCGAGGCCGAACGATCGTCGCGCGATTTCGAATTCTTTTCGAACCCAGGGAGACTCGATGATCCCCGTGGTTCGGATTGGCTGCTGGTGTCACGTGATTATTGAACGTGATAGGGGAAAAATGGAAATTAGAGAAGAGCTAGGAAATTGGGAACTTGTCTCTGGTACTCGTATCATGTTCCTTTGGATGTTTTTCTCGTAGAATTACGTCGACTTCGTAAATGGGACTTAACGTGCCCCAAAATGGCAGACATGTTATTACGAGTATGTCACCAAATGGGTCGACGATATTACTGTTCTATTCTAAACCACATGCTACGTCATTGACTAGACGAGTCTACTGTTGCATGACTCGTGCATTGAGTCGTCGATCTCGAGTCTGTCGAGTAATATGTAGGTGAAATGAGTAATAAACGTGGAGTATGTACACTTTCGAGTCACGTTCCAAGCTGCTTCGTAATCGATAGGTGTACTTCGATTTAGAGTAGATTCCAATTTTGTTGCAAGAAGTATAATAGTTTCGTGTAAATAAAACAAATAACACACTGACATTGTCTTCTCGAAGATTGGACAAGGATCAAAGTTAATTAGAGGACCGAGCGAGTACGTGGAACGACGAAGTGACAGTTTCGTACGTCATCTGTCACGTGGGAGGAGGGAGGGGGGCGTAACTTGTTTCACGCAAGCCCGGGAAACCTGACAAGTATGATTTCAAAAATTTCCAACGTCGATAGAGACTCGATGGGGGAGGTCTGCGAAACGAACAACCCTCTTATCGAAATTAAACGCCCCCAATTTCGATATATTGTCTCGATTCTGCCAATCAAGTGGTCCACACCCTTCGTTGCAACATAAAGAGCAACTGAACGAAATTTCATCCGGATCCAACAAAAATAGTAGGAGTTACAGGGGGATCACAAACACACAGACGTTGTAAATATCAGCAGTTTTGATATACAGAAATTAATGATGTGTTCGAAGAGGACCCAATTCACTTGTTTGCACAGCCAATTCTGAATGTTTATTCCAATAAATCACTGCTTAAATGTTTATACAAAATGGCAGACGATATAAGTTAAGATAAAACGTTGAGCAGAGGCATAATTAACCCGTGATTTCGAACGATAAAATAGTGCGACGTGTTTAAACTAAGAACTTATCTTGATGATTTCACCATTCGTAAAATACCAGTAGGAGCAGTAAATCAATATGTTTTATCAAATTAGAAGCTAAATTCGTATTCGTAACAGCCTCGAACGATGGAAATCCGAAGTCCGTGCTATAGTCGACCGATTCAGGTCTCCGCAAATGTCATTATACCGATCGATGTGTGTCTGAAATGTATCTGTGTCCCGTTGCACGCAACTCGTTTCCACGGAACGTAATCGTAAGGACGTTGCAAGAGTAGGTGAGCGAGATAGCGGTCTGTTACGTAACCGACGATAACGAGCATGTTCTCCTCCGATAACGTGTTATCTACGCCGAGGTACTTAAATTTTAGAAGGGTCTAACCGGTGAGACAAAGATTCCAGATGCTGGAAACGCGAGCACAATTTGTGCTCAGTTAATAAATAGTTATATCATTTATTCTCTGTTATTTATATATTCCGTTGTTTCGCGTGGATTACTAATTTCATATTCCCTCCACTTATCATACGAAATATAAACCTATTCTCTAAGTTGGAGAGATGTCTACACGTGTACGAAAATTTTATCGAAACACAGACGTTTTCAAGTTATAGCTGATCAAACACACGGACAGGCGGGCAAATAAAAATTCCGATAAAGCGACGTTAGGTGTTGATATCCATTAACAAACCGAAAATTGTCAAAAACAAACAGAATTACAAAAATACCTAGTTTTTTTTTTTAATCGGAAACAATGACAAATCGGGATCATTCAGGAAGCTATAGTGCAAAGAAAATTCTGAAACTCGGTTAAGGTGAAAAATTGCGTTTTGCGGATTAGAGAAAATTAAGACACTGGAGGTGGAAAATTACCTCTTCAATCACGAGATGGAAGATCTACGTTCATTACTCGCTTCCCGAGAGAACAGAAAGACACAGTTACACCGTACTCGATTCTATTCAAGATGGAAAACTGCAACATTTTACAGCGAGAAAAAATAAAAAAAGATACTGGGATTCGTTTAAAACGGAGAATTCAAAATAAAAACACGCGAAAGGGGAGAATTGCATCCCTAAAATCACAAAATAGAAAAGTTCGTCGATCAGAATTAGTGAAAATAAAAATAAAAATTCTCAACTTACTCGAGGTGAAAGATTGCATCTTTTAAGTCGCATAATTGTGAAACCACGTGTATTGATTGCATCCTGTCTGAAATCAGAATGAAAAAAATTCTTTGAATTATTTAGGACTAAAATTGCAAGTGTTGCGTCAGGGGATGCAAAAATTGCGTTTATCGGTTGTTTCCTGGCTGGAAGCAAAAGTTAAGATTCCAGACGATCAATGAAATGTGTTACTATACCGGTATGCACTAGATATGATCACACACGGACTGCCACTAGTGACTATAACTCGTACGTAGGATGTATGGGAATCTAAAGCGTGCGTGGATTCCGTGGTAGCCGTGTCGCCAACAAAAGGGGCCGGTTCTAAGCGGTTTTGTTCGAGGGGGTTAAGTGAGAATTGTTTTAATATTCATGCAGAATTTCCGTGACTATAGTTCCGTGATACAGATATACAAATACTTATCAACGAAGATTTTTTTTTTGGTAGACATTCCAAGTTGACACTGTTGGTCAAAAAGTTTCACCAAACCAACAGTTTTCTTCGACACTCAAGTTTTATTTTGAATTTAAAAAATGGTCGAAACCCGATCAGAGTTCACTGTGACCAATTTAGTGATTTCGAAAATCTTGCACAACCCTGATAATCTTCCTGCTGAAGATATATTTCACCGATTTTGTAACGTCTCGTTTCGAAAGCTGTTATCACAGTGAAAAGTAGTCCACATAAATGAAGCAAGTATGACCTCTATATCTTCGAAGCACCTTCGTTTAGGGGGAAAAAATCATTATCAGTATGTCGGTGTATTGTAACTTCCGTTAGGCAAGATACGAAGATAATTAGACTGTTCAAGTATGTAATTATTATTACTCAGAATATTAAACGTGCTTAGTAAAAAATACTTAATTAAATGTAAAAGATTGAGTTTGATACGATTATAGTTGCGTCGAGCATCTTTCAAGGTTTATCACACCCACAGTCTCCAATCTATTTCTCTGTTACAAAATTTAAGGGATGAAAAGCATAAATTGCTCAGAAATATTTCACACACTTTGAGAATAGATATCTTTGACCAGAAAAATGATTCTTCGAACTTCCACGTTTCGTAAGATCCAACCAGTGTATTCTTACACTCGACGGAACGAAACCTAGTGCAATACTAGACTTTATTTGTACGGGCAATCATTGATTCATTTCGCATAACGATTTCTGGCAGCCTTTTAGGCTTTCGACATTTGGCTCATCGATCTATGCATCATCATTTTGTTTTGCAACTTCGTTCGCACGGATGTATGTCCATTCGATGGTTGACCTATTTGCTACGATCCTCTCGTGCGTATTCGAACAAACGTATTACTATCAATAGAATTTCGAAAAGCGATACGATCGTTCGTGCAACGCGCAACCAAAATGCGCAGGTTTATCGATCGTTTCATCGGTCTCGATCCGTCTCCGTTAGGAAGACACTTTTCCGTCATTTTTCTTGATGATATCTCGCTAGAAGACGCTGTTACGACACAGTTGTAACCACTTTTTGCTTGTAACTGAGTTTCACAAGACGCCTCAAACATTCATGGAAGTTCAAGTGTCAATGAGTTTTTTTTTTTAAAGGTGCCATTCACAGCTCTTTCAGTCACCAAAAATGACCCGATAGAACATTTTTCATATTCTTGGGTCGATTAATTTGAGAATGGAGTACCATTCAAAGTACTATTAACCAAAATTGATACAGTTTGAAATACGTAAAAAGAAATATTACCAAAAATGGTCCAAGACTAATCGGTTAACAGCTGAATTACATTTTTAATAACAAATTTTGATACGTTCGTGGTCACACTGAGCGTGTTATTTGCGTTGGTCGCTAAAGAGAAGCAGAAACAACGCGAGCCAACAATTTCCCTCGGTGTGTGCGTCACTGATTAAAGATCGCGGCGAGCTGGTGCTGCTAGCAGAAATTAGTGTCATTTAGTGGCGATGCCATAATTGCAGAGCGCTGAAGCGTTGCCTCTCGTTCGTGACCTTTCTGCGTTTATCGTTACCTCAGGTGAAGAATTTCTGGCCACCAATTGTGATCTCAATCGCGTTGAACGAGCACCAGGGAACTAGGAAGATTTTCAGATCTCAGTGTACAGTAAATTGCGGCCATTTAAAAAAAAAAAGGCGTAGCAAATCTCCTCCGGGTGTATTTAGAACAGTCGACTGCAATTACATTGTTCCAGAAGGTTTCGAATCAATGCTACGCAAAGTTCCATTGTGGTGCCATTTTTACCATTCTTGGAGGTGTGCTACTGGCACCATTTTTTGAAATAATCATTTCAATGTTCTTAAAAATGAATCTTCTTCCTTCTGTAGTAGTAGTTATATATCCAGTGGCGTCGAACCATCACTAGTAAAATTTCTATTTCAGATTGAAGTTCGTTTTCAAGCGAACAGACTCGATGTCACTTGAAAGCGGGCACTTTTGTACCACGTTATAAACTTGATTTACTTCGACTTGATCTCGTTAATGGTTATCATTTTACGAAGTTCCATTTATTTGTGTTACATTTATTAAAATAAAAAGAAATTAAATGACACTTGACACGAATAAAGTAAAATTAAAAGTAGTCGGAATAAGGTCGTGTTTGGACTCGTTTTCACCGTGAGAACCTCGCCAATTGATCAAAGATACTAATTTTTCAAAATTGCTATAGGCTTCGACGTACTTAGATTCCAACAAAAATGGCACTTCAATTCAGCATGGAATGCATGAATATAAAATGGTTCAATGATCTCACTGTTGTTAGCAGTTTACGTTTGGGTTCACGTGGCGTTCTAGGGTTACCAGTTCTGGTCCCTCCCCGAGGAAACAATAAATGGTGTCGCGTTTTATGTAACGCGACAATGAATCGCCGTGCAACCTACTTGGCAGCCAAGTTATCGTGCAACAAATAATACAGGTTTCTCTGTATTATTTCTGCCCGTCGCATTTGTTCTCGGGGGTAACAACGGGGTGTTGTCTGTCAAGCGTTTAAGACAATGTAATCGTTCTCTTACTCGAAACGAAACTGGTCATTCCATGTGCTGGCGCGCTTCGACCCCTTCGGTTGCCAACAGATTTAATTCGGCGTGTCGTAGTTCGAACGGCACATATTTATTAATTTGTAATCTTTTCGACGTTGGTTATCCATCGATCACTTTGGTCAAAAGCTCGATACAAGATTTCTACAAAATTAAAATTAACTCTTATCACACTGTACAATTAGAAAAATCTAAATATTTTAGCGAGTAAATAAAAATTCACCAGAAATGGATACCCTGAGAAATTATCTTTGGATTGAATATAAATTATCTTATCGATTGTTTTTCCTTTTCCGTATGCGCGAATTATCGAACGCTTGCAGTTCTGGAAGAAAGTCTTCGGCACACTGAGTGTAACTGGATGAAGCAAAGTATTTGAAGCGCTTTCTATTTGCTACTTAAAATACAGCCCCGGTACGTTGAACCCTCAAATCTGATTAAAACTAGAACAGCCTGCTTTGCGTGCACCGTAGTCGGAAACAGAAATGAACCAAATTCTTATCTGGATTAAAATTCGTAACGAGATAAAACGATTCGTTTGTTTTACGAAACAACCTTTTATCGAAGTTATTTCCGCCGAAAACACAAATCACGGACTCCTCGAACCAGCAAGATCGCGTAAACAGAAGTCACTTGGAGATTATAATATGAAATCAAGCACTCTCGTTTGAAGCGTTTCAGTCTCATATTTCTATTTTAAATTAATTATATAAACCACTGAACGTACCTTGGCCTTTTAAGGAAACCAAATACAGTCGAAGAGAGCTGGGTCCGATGACCTCTTTCGAGCCCTCGTGAAAGTTCAGTAGAAATTCGTTTCAGGAATTAGCTTAAAGGGTAAACCTGCTCCCAGAAGATCACTTGGGGGGGGAAAGCTTTCAAGCAATTTCTAAAATCACGTTGGGAAGCTTGGTATATCTATTACTGGTTCTAGTTTTGCAAAGTGTAGGTAGTTTGTATTATATCCTCTTGGGGCGAAATTTAGGTAAAACCTTTTATGTCGATTAAAGAAGTTAAAATCAACCAGGTATTTTAAAAAAATCAGAGTCATCCAATTTGGAGGACTTAGAAAGTCAGGATATTTGTCTTAATTATTATTAACTTAATTTGAGCTCATGCAACTTGAAAGACTACATCACGAGATCAAAAATCCAAACGATTCGTTGATCTGTTGGCTCTACGAATTTTCTAAAACTCAAGTTATTTCTGAAATAGCGTTCACAGTCTAGCGCAACGTAAAATGTTGCTAATTAACTAGTCTATTGAACGCGTCGGGGCTCATCTTCGAGGGAACGGCGAGCAGCAGCGGTGGCCACTGGTCCTCGTCCGTTTTCTATTCTAATTTCGATGCTATTCTAGTCCGCGAACGCCGGCCAATGGGCTACGTCCGCCAGTAAACGTTCTCCTCTGCTCCATCCCCCTCTGTACCCCGGTCCTCGTGTCAATCGCAGTCGTTCTCGAGGCATCGCGTGCGCCAGATTATCCGGGCACATCCTCGTTTTATCCGGTGCGTTATCACTCGCGTTACGTTTACCCTGAAACTGATAACGGCGGGAGAAAGGACGCGAAGATCGACCGCTGGCCGCGAAAGCCATTAGCGTAATCGCCTCACCTCGAGACCAGTGTCGCGGGAATTTTCTTACGCGCGAGGACAGAGACGAGAAACTAGTGCTCGTAGTGAATCGGGGTGCAGGAGGTGGTCGTCCTTGGTAGCGTGGGTGAGGAAAAGAGGACTCTGAAACTGCGTCGGTGGCGACGGTGTGACTTAGAGGGCGCGGAAGGGGAGAAATGCAGTGGCGTCGGCAGCGAAGGATCACCCACGTGATCGGCTCCTCCAATCACGTTCTACTATTAGCGAGGTACCAAGACGGTACGGAACCTTGAGGAAGAGGCTGATCATGGACTTGAACGAAGAGGCTTAGATCTTTTCTTTCGTTGTAGATAATAATGCCCCTAGAGATAGTGCGTACGCTTCGTTTAACCCATGACCAGTCAGGATCACGTTAAGCAGAATGTACGAAACCCGTACGCCTTCTATATCGTGGTAGCAGGTAGTTACGTTAATTGACGTCGATGGAAACCGCTCGAAGGGACAGTATTCGCGTCGAGAGATCGGAACATTGGCTGCTAATGGGTTAATGTGATCGAATTGTATGCAAGCTTCGTAGGTGCACCTTGAGAAGTATTATTGCTTTTTAATTTGTAGACAATATTTTATAATTTGAGCACGGTACACCGATTGATACCATCGTTAAATACCACTTGCACAACAGTCCAGGAGTGTTCGATTACTCGAGATTACTTTTTTTTTCATAATTTATGTATCCTGCTTCTTGATTCTTTTCTCAGATGCCCTCCATTTAGACTTTAGGTGTTATATTATGTAATATGATAAATAACGTCGTGGAAAGAACCAATTTCGGGTACTCGAACACCCTTGCGACCTACCCAAAACGAAACTTATAGCTCCACACGCGTAGCGATTAGGTGCTCGATGACATTGCTCGGGAATCTAATTGCAAGCTAGACCAGAGGCGACAGCCAAACATCCCATCGAGGAATGTCGAGCGCGATTTCTTCGTCCTCGTGTGACGCTTATCGCGAACGTATGATGTTGCTCGCAAATAACCGGGTGCACTCGTGTGACGAATTCCTGCGCAACTCGACCCGGGTACGTGAACGCGTTATCAGCCTAACGAGTGTTAACAACACTTGTACACCCGACGCGTGTGCATCCGCCATTGCAGGTGAACGAAACGTATCCGCGATAAATGTGACCCTCGATTCAAGAGGTATTCAGGGTGTTTCATAATTCATGGCGCAAAGGGTCTGGGTTAGGTCGATTCCATACGTTCAAAGTATTTTACTATTAAAAAATTGTTTAGAGGGGTATTGACCCTTAAATGATCCAGACTGGCGATGTTTTCGGAGTAAATTTAATTTTCTCGAGAACGAAGCCATAGAGTCTAATACCATGAATTTTTCATCCTGCACGTCTGTAGTGAAACGAGTGCACTATGTGGTAGCAACCGTAAATGCAAAATGGACCTTCTAACGTGTTGTTTTGTTTCCGTCGACAGCTCCGCCCGGCGAGGAAGACGAGGAGGAAGGATTGCGAAACGGTTACGTGAAGGACCAGGATAATGACACGAGCGGCCATAGTTTCAATCGGAATGGCCAGGGCACCTACAAGTCGAAGAGGACGGGGAACGTGGGCGGTAGCGGTTACGCGGGGGGGACCAGGTCCCACAAGGAGGATTCTTCGGGGTCGCCGTCGCAGCCCAAGATCATCTTCAACGAGGACGAGTACGCGAAAATCACGACGCCCAGGCAGGACATGCTGTTCAAGAAGGGCTACCTATCGCGCAGAAAGCTCTGGGCGAGCAACGCGAGCACCAGCGCCACACCCTCGACCACCGAGAGCCAATCAGCTTCGCACTCCACCGCAGGTAGAGGTATAGGTAGAAGCGTAACGCATTTCATCGAATTTCTGTTCTTTTTTGTCCGGTCTTTTTTTCATCCTTCGTCGCAACACGGATCCCCCAAAAGTCACATGGAGTTTCTCTTAGTTGGGGGGCGGAGGGGGATGGTTCAGACCCCCAAAAACGCGAACCAAACTCTTTTAGTTAGTGTGCTTTCAGTTATAGATAAGTATGAGAGGATAAACGTGTCTCGAATCCCGATTTTTCCTCGTTTTTTCGTCTTTAATTGTAGCTAGAAAAATGGAGCATTTGTTAGAGTCTACTTTAGAATGATATAAGAGGGGACGGAGTTGCTTGAATCCGGGGTAAAGATTGTCACTTAAAAGAGAGTATTACGTTCGTCTCCACGAGTCTGTAGATCGTTAGCACGATGGAGGTGTCTCGTTGGTAGTTTCTAGCGACCAGTTCATTCCTATCGACGTTAAGGGTTGTTTCAAGCTGTTGTTTACACGGAAGCTGACGAATCATTGATTCGATTAAAAAGCAAAAGTATCTCTCGCAATCTAAAGCCTTGATAGCATTTGGTCAGAATATGGTAGGCGTTGCAATACGAGACGGCTAGGCACACGATTTTGGAGTGGAACTATTCTGTTTTCTATTAAGGTAGCCGTGTCAAGAATCAAACATCTGGAAACTGTCTTCTAACATTGCAGGTAGGCAATCACGATCGAACAGTTCGGGGGTTGGTTATGGAAAAGCTAGAAGAGAGATGAGAGAGGGGAGATGAAGGAAGGAAGGTGTACGTGTTGTCCCGGGCCTGCTAGAGGACTCGTCGGTAAGGCTACCCAGCAAACCCTGCTTTAGACGTCAGGACGTTCGGTGGTCGGTCGAGGAACGTATATGGTGATCCTGGGAACTGGACCAGGTTGTAGCTCCTTTCTAGGCAACGATAGTCTAATTTGTTAAGGCGATACGTATAGGGTCTTCCAATAAGAGCGATAGATCTTTCAATTGTCACAGCCGCCATGTTTGTCATTCGTTTGTTCGAGTCGCGCGACATATAGATTCAGTCATTTACAAGTCATCGTTCTCAAGAATTAGGCATATTCCTCGGAAGACTTGGATCTTCGTCCTTACAAGATCCAGTTGACTCGAGAATCGAAGCTCACTTTCGGATGGATGAATCTTGGAAGATGCTAATCCTCAATCAACGAGATCCATTGTACCCACAAAAAGTTACGTGGTGTGGTCCTTTTTCAAACCGAAGAAGGTTCGACGATTTCATCTTTTCTTTAACGTGAATTGCGTGGATCTGATTTGTCTAAGATGTGGTTTCAACAAGACGGTACCACACGCCACGCTTCTGCTGAGACTATCGTCTTATTGAGATCGAAGTTCAACGATAAGATTATGTCGAGGAATGCAGTTATCGACTGGCGACCAAGATCTTACGACTCGACGCCATTAGACTTTTTCTTGTGCAGTTAAGTCGACGACCTCGAAGCACACATTCGTGTTATTAATTTGATTTAACCCCTACGAACACTCCTAAAACTACTATGCTTGATCTGCGTTCAAGTTCTAAACGATCCTTTGAGATTCCCCGTCCCCGAAGCATAAAACACTCGATAATTTACCGACGACTGCGCTTCACTGCCATACGTCAATAACACCGACGAAGCTGACCGGTCAGGACCTTTAATAAATTTTTATTCTCCCCTGGGAACACAGATGGTAGCGAAACGACTGAGGATCAGCTGTTGGACAGAGACTACAGTACCGGAGAATATCCACCGATGATGAAGTCCGGGGCGCACGTGACCTACGGAAGATTCTACGACCACAATAGTGGCTACTACTACGAGTACCCGGTAATGTTGCTTGGCCCTGCACCAGTTCCAGCGCAGGTCGGACCAAATATCCTAGCAGCTGTACCTTGTGATCCCGTGCCTCTGAGGCCGATAGAATGGATCAATCCTGCCTTTATGCCTAAACTACCTGGACAACACTACTGCATGATGGATTACCAGGTACGTCCTGAGCAAACGGAAGCCTTTGTTAGGAACCTTTTGCGAGTCTCGTTACAGCGAGAATCAAGTATGCTACGTGTGACTGACTTTTCCTATCTTTGAGACCAAAATACCCACTTGAATCGATTGAAAAGGAGGAACTGACATAAGTAGATTCATAGAAATATAGTGTGTAATATATCCACTGTCTTGGCCTCTTATAACCTTTAACACTATGGTCGGTTATAGACTGGCAAAAATAAAGTAATTTAAACTACCATTGGTTGTAGACCAAGACAAGAGCTCTATCAGAGTCCTATACCCTGGGAAGCTTAAGTAACGAACCCAATCCGCTCTATCTAGACTCCCACATCCTTTCCAACTGCTTTGCCACGCTACCTACTGTCCAGAACTTCTCCGATCCCTATGTTTCATCAAAGAACACGATGCAACTGTTGTGGAGGACCAAGACAAAGGCTTCACCAGAATCCTACTTCTCCTCTAGGTGGTTCTATAGGATTCTTATACCCTAGAAAGGCTAAGTAACGAACCCAATCGGCTCTATCTAGAGTACTACACTCTTTCCAACTGCTTAGCCATGTCACCCACTGCCCGAGACACCTCCGATCACCGTTTCTCATCTAGAAGAACCGTCTTAAGAAACAGTTGGTTGGAATTGCAGAGCGAGCAAAGCACAAAGGACTCGACCCTGGCGATGGAACAGGATAGCACGTTATTGCCGGTAGAGAACACGAACGGTATGTGCAACGAGAGCGGTACATGGAGCGCGAGCTGCAGCGAAAGCGTGGCGGGCGAGACGGAGAAGCAACCGGCGGAGATCGACGCGGCGACGAAGGATCAGACCGACGAGCACCAGATGGAGGAGCAGATGGAGTACCAAGTGGAGGAGCAGCCTTTGGAGAACGGTTTCAACGGTGAACAGTACCTGGAGCCGGTCCTGATGCAGCAACCGATGCACGTCTCGCACGTGATACCCGTGCCGCAACCGTACATGTACCCCGGCCATTACATGTTCGGTCCTCCCTTGGTCAACCTGAACGGTTAGTTGATTATTCGAAGTCTCTGCTCGGGTCGGTGGATTCTCGAAAGTTACTATTTAGTTTTACTCTCCTTTGCTACCGCATGGGTAGACGAACGCTCTCGCTCTCTCGTAGCTTTCGTTCTGTTCACGGACGGATGGACGGAACAACGGACGAACTAGCGAAGGTTGTGTTCTCGTGGCTGAGAGAATCTGCGCAAACACGAACCCCTAGGGGAGGGAGCGATGCATCCTGACGTTGCAGGTCGACGTTAACCCTTTCTCGCTCGGAAAAACGCAAGATGCGCGACAGTGTCGAGGGTTTAGTGTATTCGAGACACTTCGAAACATTTTTTTTAGCGAAAGGGTTAATCGTCGATTGCGTTGGAAGCTCCGATCCCCTCAGGATCAGAGTTTCGCGATGTTAGTCGATCCCAAGCCAGCTTCAGCGTTCACCCCTTGTTGCGCTTGACGTCGAGTCGTAAGATCTGCATGCTACCCCGGCCCTGTCACTAATACGAACCTCCGTGAATCGGTAAACGATAACGAAAGGTAACAGTAGCATGGCACGTAAATAACAATAGAACGTACGGACGGTAGATCGTCAAGCGCCCATAGTCGCAAGAATATCGGAAGTACGTATTGCGTAACGACGGTTTAATTGTCGGCCGCGTGAGAACCCACGCTGCCCGCCAAGAAGTTTATATTTAACTAGGAACGAAAGAGTACATAGTAGCGGATGACACATTGCGTGCTGAGATGCATCGGACGCTCCTTCCCCGCACAGCAACAGTCTAGGCGTTAGTACGTTTGATTGTACCTGTTTCTAATGTTAAACGAGAACAGTATCGGTCGGATGCCCGGCGAGGGGAAAGGGATATACCCAGATTCACGACTGCTGTCCCGTCCATCGGCATCATTGCTGTTTTATTACCGCCGTGCCTCTACCACAGTCAAGGTAAAAGGTAATAATTCGCAGAGACGCACCTTCTCTTTACGTACGATCGTCGATCGGTCAACACTGATCGACAAATCTTCAATAAAAATTTCTATCTTTCGTAATCAAAACCTCACCCCCGTTTTATGCTAAAAACTATTCAGCTCTAGTTTCGAGTGGAGCAAAGTTAGAATTTTTTACTTTTGAAATCGAAAATTTGTTCGTAAACTTAAGTAGTCTGCTAAAACTTTAGTTTTCCTGGTACCACTCTTCCCCATGGCGGCCATATTGGTATGTTCATCGTTCACCGCTTCACGATTTCCAGGAAAGCAATCCAGATGGAAATGCAAACAATGAATTTTCAACTTTGCTCCAGTTTTTAATACCGTGGAAGTAAATTGTAATTTTCGTCATTGGGGATCGTAATACGAATTGAAATTGGCTAATCGCGATCCGACGATCGTACCTAAAGTCAAGATACTATACACGCTCGGTATGTGTGTGTGTGTGTGTGTGTGTGTGTATGCATACGTTTAATTTCTGATCCGTCATTCTTCACTGCAATTCCGACATCGAGCATATATTCTCCAGCACGCAGCCGCGCACGTATAGCACAAGCGAAGAGGCGTATTCACCCGGGGGTCCATTGACTCATAACGATATCACGAGGATGCCGCTGTTCCATCGACATTTAATGTTAGAAATAATGTCTGCTGGCCGCGCGAGGGGCGTCAAGGGAGGATTTGGCCGAGCCTCGGCCAGCGTCGCCGAGCCTCGAATAGAAATGGTTTTAAATAGACACCGTGCGCGGAGCTGTTTGATATAAGAGGCGAAGGGTGAGGAGGCGGCCACGGAAAGCCAAGTTCAGTCTTCGCGCCCTTCGACGCGCGTCGATTACGACGTGGTTTCCGAATTCGACCCGGTGCACCCTGGTCGAATTCCGAGAGACGTTCGGTCGCATCGACACCCGCCATACTGCGTGTTACTACGTTGTCGCACGGGGAGATAATGCTTGGTGTTTTTGCTGTCCAAGGTGTTACAATACAGGGCGGGCCTATGATCAGAATTACGGGCGTGGCGGCTATGTCGACGACCTATACCAACCGAAAAAAGAAAAAAAAGGGAAGAAACCAGAGAAGATTAGCTGTGGTAAATATCAATCTCTATATACTCCGAAAAGGGGACAAAGATGTGTTTTTGCATACGAACACAAGCTTGCAAACCGCTTTACCAAGTACTATCGTACCAAGCAAGTCCATTTATACACATATATCCATTACAAATTAATGAAACTTCTCACATGAGATACTAGGGGGAAGTGTTCATAGAACACAATGAACACAAGAGGAAGTGAGAGAGAAAATGAAATTACAGAATATATTATATTTTCGGAAAACGATTGTAATTGACCCTTACAACTAAAAATAATTTTTTTAGAATGATTTGAAATTTTGTAATTTTGTCGAAAAATTTCACACCTACTCGAATTTTTTTCTCGAAAGTGGGTAGAATTTCGAGATTATGTCTATTGACCAAAAATGATTGTAATTGACCCCTGCAACCAAAAATAATTTTTTCGAAACGAATTAAAATTTTTTTTCCTCCCCGATAAGTTTGTCCACCTACCCCCTGTCGATTTTTCTTAAAAATTTATTTGACGCTCTACAGAAAAGTTGTCTAATACTTTATTGTAGGTACCCATGGGCTCTGCTAGAGAAAAAAGTTTCATTGAAATATAATCACTATTGTTGGAGTTATGGCTGTTTGGAAATTGGACCATTTCTATGGGGGTTTTCTCACTTTACGGGGTTAAGGAACAACTTTTCGAATATTTTTGGAATTTCCACATATTCTCCATCAAAATACGCGTAGTTCGCTTTTTTAAACATTAAAATCCTTCAATCCGTTCAGAAGTTATGGCGTTTTAAAGATTACGCATGAAATTTAAGGGGGACATATCAACGGTATGGTCAGACATGATATTTTCGGTAAGGAATTTTTTTCTCGAAAACGCGTAGGAATTCGGGGGTATGTCTGATCACCAAAAATGATTGTAATTAACCCCTGCAACGAAAAATAATTTTTTTAGAACGATTTGAAATTTTCTTTTTCGTCGGGAAATTTCAGCATTTATTGAATTTTTTTCTCGAAACTGGTTAGGAATTCGAGGGTATGTCTATTCACCAAAAATGATTGTCATTAACCCCTGCAACTAAAAATAATTTTTTTAGGACGATTTGAAATTTTTTTTTTCACCGAAAAATTTCAGTACATTTATATAGTAATAAATTAAATAATTGTATAAACGAATGTCCTAAACGTCAAGCATCAAACAACTGCAAACAAACAAAGGATTCATTGAAACTTGGATGATTCTAAAATTGTTTTTGTAACGTAGGGTAACACGGAGGACGAAGAGGAGGCAGAATACAGCTCCGAATATGATACTGGTGTACTGTCTTCCCGGCTGTCCAGGACAGCGTGTTCAACTTCGACAACAGCCACCAATCGGCCGCTGAACCCTCAAAGCCAGGAGTTCCAGTTGCAGCCAGTGAAGCTGGACGCCTCGACGTCCGCTACGCCGACGTCCGCCACCTCGTCGACCTCCGGTGAGGGTTCAGCCATGAATCAGTCGAGCACGTTGTCGTCAGAGACGGCGTCGATCGACCAGAACGAAAAGACGTGCAACGGTGTCGATTGCGACAACCAGAAGCAGGAGGACGAGCAGCTGACGGACAGCAATTCCGACCAAGCATCGGGATCGCTGTCGGAGAAGAACGAACCGACGTTGCACGACGCTGATCCTGACACGGAAACGAACGGATTGACGTGTTGCCTCGCCGAGAAGAACGACATTCTGCCGGTCGACGAGCTGGTCGAGGTCGAGTCTCCGTGCGTTAAAGAGGCAGCGAGTGCGAACGAGTCGCGCGAACGATTGACGGACGAAGCGATGAACGGGGTCGAGGAGACCCTGGTGAACGGGAAATTGAACTCGAGCAACGAGATAATGCTGACGAAATCATCGTCTTCGTGCAACGACGAGAAAACGTCCAAGACTGTACCGAAGGAGGAGCTGGAGAACCACGAATCCTTGTCGAACATCAAACTGCCAAAGAGGAAGTACAGCGCGAAGGGTACGAAGTTCGTGAGAGAGCCAACGCCTGGGCCCGACCTGGACAACACCGCCGAGCAACCGGAGAACGCGCCGACGAACGAGAAAGCGATGAACGATCTGACCCAGAGCCTGAACGGCGTGAACCTGTCCAACGACTCGTCGCTGAAGACGGAGTCGACGCTCGACTCCAGCGACAAGATCGACGTGTCGAGCAACTTCGCGTCGGAGAACGCGAGCAATCATCGAAGCAAGGACGACCACGTCGAGGCGATGAACGAGGACTCCGGTTTCGAAAGCCAGACACGGGTGTCGGACTTCCCGATCACGAAGGCGGTGACGGAGTGGCTGCGAAGAGCGAACTCGCCCGACGTATTCATCACGAACGTGTCGAATACGGACAACGAGACGGAGGACGAGGACGAGGTGGACGAACAGCCGCCAAAAAACTTGCAAGGCAACCCCATGCCTGCACTATCTGCTAATAGCGGCGCAGACAATGCGGTATTGTCGCGTGCGACTAGCTACGGCGAATTCGCAAGGATCAGCAACGTCAAGGGCCAGGAGCAGGAGGCCAGCAACGGCGGTTTGAGGAAGAAGAGGGACGCGAAGAAACGGTCTGGGGAACGGAGACGGGTCAGGCACGTCGAGGGCAAGCTGGAGAACGAGGCCATGTCGTCGTCGGATTCCTGCGGACAGCGTGAGGTCCCCGCGAACGCCGCGAGAAGGAAGAACAACCCAACGAAACAGCAGGACGTTGGTGACGTTTGCGAATTTACTGAGACGGATAGCGTTGCGGGTATGAGGGTTGCTTCAAGCTCTCGGATGACGGACTCGAAGAGGGTCAATGCAAGGCGAACGAAAAGACAAGGTAGATCCGGCAAGGATCCCGCGATTATCGATACGAAGATACGACGCATAGATGACGTGGACGACGAGAACGACGAGGGTATCGTGAAGGACGTGGTCAAGACGTACGAGAAGGGGACGATCATCGTGTTGGATGACGGGAAGTTGTTGACGACTTCCAGAAACGATGCTTTCACGACCGAGAAAACGACCAGCAACGACGGGGCGAGAGAGACGGCTAATAAGACGGAGAGCAAGAGACGGAACGACGACGAGAAAGGTAGGAGGATGAATTCCTTGAGCAGCATAGAGGAGCCTGACGTGTTGGAGTGCTGGGAAGCCGAAACGATTGAACCTGTGATAACCCCGAAGAGGATGCTGCAATGTCGAGGAGTATCGTGCGAGGGCGAGGCCGCCGAAGAGGACAACATCGTCGCGAAGAAAGTCAACCTGGATTACGTGCAGAAGTACTACAGATTGGCGCGCGGTAGCGCCACCAGCGCGGAGGAGGAGATAACCTCTAAGGTAAACGTAGATCCGTCTGCATCGAAATCAGTGCCAAATAAATCTGAGCAAGTGGAGATTCTGACGGAGACGGGCGTCCAGGGGGAGAAGAACGACATACCCATCGACGAAGCTTTCGAGATATACGAGAGCTGTTACACGGGGAATGACCCGTTTATGGGCATCGATACGAAAGTTTTCAAGTCACGAACGTTATACGATCAAGATGGCGAGGGTCCTATACCATGCAGAGGGTTTTGTTGCAACTTTCAATGATTGTTGAGAGCCTCGAATAGGGATGGGTTTACCGGTTTATCGGTACCTTGTCGATATCGCGTTTAAGTATCGACAATAAAAGAATGTACAATTCGTTATGTTCGATCCATTTATTTTCTTATTCGATCACGGTAAGAGCATTTACACGTTTCGGTTGTAATCGCGTACTACGGTTCGAAAGCATTTCCCTCGCTATATGGAAAATATTCGTCCGCTTTGGTCGGGACGATAAAAGGCCCAAGACTTGTGAGTCACGGGCACGGGAGCTTCCGATTGGTCGGTGATTCGTGGCCCGCCAATGGGGAAACCCCCGCGCCAGGACAAGTGCTGCGCCACCTATTATGCAGTTGGCGGCATTGAATTTGTCGCGAGTCACTTTCAATGCCTCCGCGCGAGCATACTGATAAGTGCTTTAAAATACACGTACAATATTATACAATAATGTTGTTCGACCACCAAAACAAAGGGTTACATTTTCTCTTGTGAGGGTGCATTTTTCAGACATCTGAAACTATCGTACGCGACTCTTAACACGTTAAACGTCGAGCTAACTGGGTTCATATTTCCGTCTACGCCGCGAGCTCTCATCGTGGAGAAACAGTGCATTTGTAAGGAGTTAGCTTAACTCGTTACTAGATTTTGTTGCTCGTAAAAGTAAAAACATAAATGTCATTGCAAGACGGATGCAAAAGTGATTCGAGTTCTAGAATTCTCATCATTAACCATAAAACTTTCTACAAAACGAGCACTTTGATTTTAGAGAACTAGCAGACCGAAAATTTGTCGCAGTATTTATTTTTGTAACATCGCTGATACTCACGAATCCTAATCAAATTTATTTCTTTTAACATTTCAGCTTGAAAATTGATTGTTTTAGTCATCCATATCTGTTGAAATTAATAACGAGTGCTGACACCCCTACGCTCGTTAGTGTTCTTCGAAAACTATTGATTGCTATAAAAATCTCATCGTTGCATTTCATGCGACGGCGGTTAACGTATTAAAGAAAATAACGCGAATAAAGTTATATGACCTAATGTATCGATGTTTGCGTACGCGGCTAATGCTCGAACATTCGATAGAGGAGACTGACGGTACTGCTGCATGTTAGTTATCGATACGTTTGTCGATGTATCGATGATGCAATGTTCGCGTTTAATATCGCCGAGTTATCGATATTTTATCAGTAACTATGTCGTTAAGCCCATCTCTAGTCACGAGCAATTCTCCACAGGGACAATCGCGTAACAGTACCGATGTCAAGGCCGTCCTTTTCTGAATAACGTATGCCTCTGACGTTGTGCTCATTGCTGGTATAGCGCGTATCGATGGACATACACACCACGCATTCATTATTACGTTCTTAATCGCGTTAAGGAATCTTGAAAGACAACCCTGTGGATCGACGTAAGTTGAGAAATTTACTGACTTAGAGGCATATGCTCAAGGGCAGCTGATGATGTAGCGGAAGCCTACGTATTGCTATTCATTTTTGTAAATAGCTTTTAAGAGATCGTTTGCAAATCGTGTTTCACGAAAACTTCGGTAAATTATTACGTATGCATGGAAGCATATACGATATTTTTTGACGTTATTGTCAATATAACTTGGTGCACATATTCTTCTTTTTTTCTTTCTTTCAAAAAAAAACAAACGAAAAAAAAAACCCAACGGTTGTTTCATTGTAAGTCTCATTACGAAAAAGTTTCATTATTAAGTATAATTTTTGAATGAATCGAGCTTATTGAGATTCGAGTAATCCGTTCTCTGAATTATAAATACGATGAATTGTTAAGTCTGAAACTCTGTGGAAAAGAATAAACAGAAAATGATCGAAGCATACTTGTGTCACGTTATTGCTTTCGTTGTTCTCGCCGTAATATTTTATAAGCATTACACGAATTATCCTACATCAAAGTGACTAAGGCATATTTTTTACAAAAACTTATCTAGAACGTAAATTTTAAAGCACGAGAAACAGTAGGGTTTTTCCACGTACCACGTTAAAAGACATTTTGCTTAGGGAAGTGTCGACTACTCGTAAACAGACCTAGGCACCTTTGAAATAACGCTGTCATGTTTCACGGTTGTTTCGTTTGCGACATACGATTGCGTTACATTTGTGAAATAACTTTTAAAAACGATATTTCTGTATTTAAACTAATGGAATAACAAAGTGCTATTGGAAATAACCGACGTGTTCTAAAAATGGAATGTTCTGTTTGTCGTAATGGATGGGATTGCAAATCTGTTCGCGTCATTGAAACGACGAAGTGATAACGATTCGAAACGAGAAAGAAATTAATATAAGAACCGTCCATCGTATGTACTTACAGTTTCAAATACACGAGACGATAACGATTTATTACAGTGTTTTCAAATTAATACATTCGCGATTAAAGTTTTTAATAACCGAGGAAGTATATTTTTAAATATCTATTTTAATAAATGCTCCCGTTTCTAATTTTCTAGTCCAAGAAAGTTGTATAGGGTCTTTTAATAAGAGATTTTAGGGGAGCAAAAACTGAATGCGTGCAAATGGCGCCGGGCGATCAGCTGACTGAGATATGGCGCGACCCGGGAACCCCCGTCGCTAAACTTTAATTGCTTGTATCTCGAGAACGAGGCCTCAGATTTTCGAACAGTAAAAGGCTTTTCGATTTCTTTTCGTACGGGGAATTTGTATGTTTTGGCTTTTCCCATCTTTTTGAAACATCTTGTATAAACCCTTAAAAAAACGCTTCCATAGACTCTTACCGGGAGTCAACGCTCAATTGTTTATGAGATGTTTAACAATAAAGATTGTAATCGTCCAATGATGCATTAGGTAAACATCCAGGTAGGTTAGTAAAACTCAAGATTCGAGTTCAAATATTCAATTATCTCTACGATTCTATATTAAATATATCGCATTGTTATGAATGAAATTCGTCAGAAGAACCTTAAATACACATTTTATAATAATTTATTATTTGTACATTTATTCGGAATACGAGACTTGGAAGTGAAGATACATTCGATAGCTCTCATTAAAAGACCCTTTACAATTATTTTACTTGGACTTTCATCATCATTTTGCAATATTCAGACTTTCTTTAAGTAATTTTTTATCTTTGATGCATCTTAATTTTGAGTGAGTTAAAATGAAGCCAACACTCGCTTCTTTACACATTTCGGGCGCAGAAATTTTCTCGTTTCTTTAGCGCGGTGCCTTTGAAAAACAATTTGAAAACCACAGATTAATACAAATTCTAATTATAAAAGGTATCCAATAGGTTCTCGTGTATCCATTATTCCAAATAAATCGATATTTCGGTTATTTCGAATCAACGTTGCGGGGAAACCAAAGACTGAAAAGTTATTTCAAATAGATATTTCTTATTTTCCTATCGAATGAAATTTGCCCAGGTCTGCTTGTAGACAATTTTAAACGTAAGAATTGTAATCCGTAACGTGCGTTCTTCGTTTTTAAATTTCCAGAACAACAAAAGAAATGAGACTAGCGGATTTCGGATACGGTTGAATAATTGTGCTATGCTTTGGATAATAGTGTACAACAGCAATACAGGATACAGTCATACATCCTGCTAGGTGCAGAGTAGTCGTTTGAAGATACTATGTGAATTGGTAAAGCAGCAAACTAATTAACTGTAATGGTAGCTGTTACAAGCTGACATAAGATGTATATAGGTGAAACTTATAAAAAAAAAAAAACTGAATTACATTACTGGTTTTTGTTATGTGAGTAAAGGACGAGCATGTTGTTTTGTAATAGATGTTTGAATCTGAAATAGGAGAGCACATTTCACCCTATACACATAAATGTACACGTACGGAAATTGCACTTGTTACAACATAGTTCACGCTTTAGTTGAGTTGTGTCAAGTAGATCGAATACCTCAGGTTGCATATTATATAAGTTGATTGATAGACGTGGTTCGTGAAAATCATATATACATACACCCCATATCATAAGGTGCGAAACATACCTCAAAAAACCTGTATATACAAAACTACTGATCATCCGAGCATTAGTAACATCAACTATAATAATAATAATATTAATAATAATAACAATAACAATAATATTAATAATAATTATAATGGTAATAATAATAATAATTATACTGGTAATAATAATGATAAAACTATTATCACAACAACAATATAGGCACAATCGTTCCTGCAAAGCTTTAGATTCCCTAGGCATCATATGCATAACATAATGTTCAGGACGATCCATATACTTATAGAAATTCATTGACATCCAAATACCATTAAAGATAAATATATTGCTATACTACATGCACGTTGCATCAATTGTGTGCCTTATTCTGCGGCTACCATTTTTGTAACCATTTCAGAGCATCCCCCTTGATATGAGAATAAGGGGTCGTCAAGTGATTTGTGAACAGTTGAAATTTGTTAAAATAAGAAAATGATAGCGATTAAGCGGAGCTTGTTATGTTCCGTGACGTTGACGGTTTTATCTGAGCACGCATACCGAAACAAGTACATTGACCTTTTTTTTTTTTTCTCATACGTCAACTAACATGTTCATTGCGTATTTACAACTGACATGCATACATTCATTAAGCACATAGGCATTAACATTACATCTTGCACGAGTCATGTTATCGTATAATTACATTTTAGTTGAAGTAAAGTAAACGTGTAAGGAATAAGTGTACTTGAATTTTCTTGTGTTTTTGCTTAAAAAATATGAATAAAATGTTTCAATTAACTTGCGGTATTTTTAATTCGTCACCAAAATATAATTCGCTTGTGAACGAATACTTTACGCTTACGATTGTCGCAAGCAACGAATAAAGCGTAATTTAAAAATTATATAATTAATATATCGAGGTATAATTTTCATGCATGTAAACTATTTGCTTACCTCGTCATAAAACAGTTGAATTTGTTGCGTCTACAATTTCTTCGGATCGTAAAAAGAGCGGGAACAATTGTCACAACACAAAGATTATATAAAGCCTAGGAATTACAATTGACTAAGCTTGCTTTTATGCGTAAAATACTTTTTGTAACGAATAAACTTTTCATTTGAACTAATCACGATTTCAAATTTCGAAAATTCATGGACGAGCATGGAGATGCGCCATAAAACAAAACACCATAAGATGGATTAACCTGTTGCAAGTCTACCAACGACATGTATATCATATGGTGTGAACATAGGCATGGAATCGAAATATGGAGATTCTATAGGCAGTGAAATTTAAAAGGCCTTTTATTATGTAGTGATATGTATATCAGATAAGATTACAATGCTACTGAGATAATTGGGAAAAATTTTAGGAAGAGCTTTAAACAGGAAAGAAATCAAGGCCCAAAACTAATCGCAGGGCATATTTTCTTTTCCCACGTGTGCCCACCGTGTCGTAACGAAAAAGCGCGCTTTCCACTACCACTCCCCGAAAATGGCGCGAAAACGCGGAAGACCACGCGAGAGAGAAGGGACACCCAAAGGATAGCACAGCCACTGCCTCTGATTGGCTTAAAGGTTCGAGAGGACGAGGGAAACATCGCGCGCGAAAAAAGAAATCGAAGATCGCTACGTCAAAGTCAGCAGAATATTGCTACGAACGAGTACCAATCTACCTTACGATCGATCTTTATAAAATTGTATTTGTTAAGTTCTTTCATTGTACTTAAAATACTGCTTTATTCGAATTCATATTAGCAACCAACGTCCATAAGCGTCTATAGTTCGTTCAGCGAGACGAAAGACTTGAATAAACAAAACCATATGACTGCGATACGATCTTATTGGTCCGCTCGTGTCTCTGGTCAGGAGTGTCTCATAGGTTTGTCGTATAGTGAATCGAAAGTTTCGACTCTAAACACAAAAATACTTGACAAAATGTTGACAAACTGATACCAGAGCATCCGTTAAGAAATTACTGCAAACCTTAGAACCATTAAATAGAACTAACAATTCACCACAGATCAGAAATTATTATATTAACTGGTAATTTGAGGCCCCCCCCACAATGCATAATCTAACACTCGCATCGTTACGGCCCTGAGGTGAGTCACGTGGTTTTGTTGATTCGAGTCTTCGTTTGCTGGACGAAGTATAGCTCTGTTGCCACCGAGACGATTCGATATCTCGAACGCAAGATGGACGCGAGCGCGATACGATACGATACGTAAGTACGTGAACGATATTAACCGAGCATACCGTGGTGCCACCAATCGGCTGGAAGAGTAGTCTATCAGTTGGTCGGAAAGAGATAAACCGATAGGAACCGCTAAAAAGAGCGAACGGGTGCGTGAGAGAGTAGAAAGTAGAGTTGGCGTTGGAGCGAAGAAGACGGGCACAGTGGATCGTACCGTGGCTATGAAGCAGTCTTATATAGATGGACACGCGCAGGTCTCACGACGAAAGGTCAGGAGTGTGTGCGTTCGCGTAGAGTAAGTAATAGCGGTATCTCACTCACTCGCACCGCGACGGGGATCGGTGGCGGAGCGCGAGTGAAAGACGAAGAAGCGAGCGAGCGAGCGAGCGAGGGCGAGCGCGAGTCGGGCCAGCGAGCGTGGAACGGTGTAGAGCGAGCGAGCGAGCGTGTGGTGGTGGTGGTGACGACTGGTGCCGTGGACGGACGGTCGGTCGGCGGTCGGACCGTGGTGTGTGAAGAAGTGAAAAATTCGCAAGTGGTGTGCTGGGTTGGTGAGCTGGCTGGTTAGTGGTGATATATCGGGGTCGCGCCACGGACAGTGCCGGGGATTTTGGTCGTCGGGGCCTGTTGCCGAGACGTCGAGGGACGACGCGTGGAACCGAAGAAAGAGACCGCGTTAAGAGCAATGTCTGACCGGGAAAGCCTGGACGATCAACAGCAAAGTAAGGATCCAGAGATTGCACGAACCTGCGTGCACGATTGCTCGACGTGTCCCGTATCGTGCACGATCTCCGATACGTGTTGCAAACGTGCGCGAACCGACATCTTTCTGTGGCTGTGGCACCGTGTGCTGCGACTCCGGTCACCAGGACCGTCGTTTCCATGAGCAAACGCGACGACCTCCGTCGCGGTTGACCCGCGCGGTTACTCCGCGCACGGTCCGTGAGCACCGCGGGCTCGCACACGCCCGATCGTTCCTTTCAGCCCTCGTGGCGTTCTGTCAACCGCCGAAAAGAATCGCTATTTTTCAACGATACCCAGGATCCAAGATGGCCGGCCGCGTATCGGCCGAGAGACAAACCCTGTCCTCTTTCCTCCTGCGTCGTACCCTCTCGCTCTCACCTCGTCTCTTTCGCACGCTCTCCGGTCTCTTTCTTCCCCTCTGGCTCCCTCTTTACCTCGCGCTTCGTACTCCTATTTTCTCTCTCTTTATCGCTTGTTCACCCCTCGCGCTCGCACGCACTCTCATCTTTTTCTACTTCGTGCTTTTAAGTTTTTCTTCCCCTTTTTCTCCAATTCTGTTTCTTCCCTTCCGCCCCGAGTCGCATTCGCAACAGCATGGGCAAAATTCTGTTCGTATAATAAATGACGAATGGAAACATGTTTGGTACATTCAATACCTTATGTTTTTATTGCACCGAATTTTGATGATACAGACAAAATAAATACATGGCGAGGGACAATGCATATGAACCACGAAAAAGGCAAAACAAAGGGTAGCTAGAAGTTTTATTCTAAGACCTAACCTCATTTTACAACTGAAATTGTAGTTTTCATCAAAAAACGTAACGGATCGAAAGTTGTTCATCTTTTATTTCTTGTTTGATGTGTGTGTCCAGAGTCTAGATAAGAGTTTTGCCCATCGCCGATTGCGTTGTGCACCAACGATGCCAGTTCCCTCCAGGTGTTCTTTTTTGAAAGTCGCGGCCTCTGGGAACCGTCCTCTGTTGTCAGTTCCGTGTGACAGGCACCCTGACCGCGCTAGACGAGACAACCGGAATGGTCCTCGAATGAACACGCGTGATGTAACTTGCCGATTCACATATCTGGCACACACGCACGGGACACAGCCACGGAAGTTGTACCAACACCGTGATAAATGCGCGCATGCAAAACGAAGGAACCGTCTGGCCACGATTCGCGTAAATTTCACACGTGCCATAGGCAACCCCCACCCCCAGGAGCTAGTGGATCTTGGCCTCGAAACGAAACGGTCACGACATGTATCTGCTAGCGACGGGAGTAATTCAATTTATCGTTTAAAAACGTTCAATCGATTCGAGGCTAGATAATCTTTCGGCGGTATCGGGTAGAAATTGACACTGGAAACGTAACACGAGCCCAACACCGATTCCACAATGTTAATATTCAGCGAGGCAAATGATCGATCGGTATTTAGTAACGCATATTGGCGCTCTACATATTTAATGTTTATAACTACTTAAATCAGAGATACGTTTGCCAAGTCAAATATAAAGAAATAAATTCAATCGATGTAATCTAGTTGACAACGTGAAAGATTATATAATACTTTCCATATACGAATGTTGCACCAATACAAAGATGGCAATGAAGTGGTGTATATTATTTCTGAGATTAAGTAATTGCAATGATCTCGTACACGTCACCAAATATCTATAATGATTCATGTTTTCTTTTTGTAAAGACACCATTTTCACTGTTTTATATCGAATCAATTATTCGTTATTATCTCTCATTTTCGATTCGCTGTTGTGGGATTCCAAAATGTCATGACTACGACATCGATCTCTCTGATTATTCCATTTGTTTTACTAATGTAACGTGGAATTTGATTAGGTTAGGTGTGTTGCGTTTTCTATCGTATAATACGGTATGCATTCATAAACTATATCCGTATAGCTTGAGATAGGTTTTTAATGTCGATTTTAAACGAACCATTGGAATTTTATAACGAGTTTTACGTGTTAGGTTATTACGATGTACACGCTATCTGGCGTACTTTTTCCGATTTATAAAACAGGAAATATTTAATGACATCATTAGCAAGTAGGACCACCTCAATGTTCATCTTTTCTTTGTAACCATTTCTAATAGTGATTTCTTTCTATTTTTCTTTAGAATATGGCAATCCAGGCGGAATGGATGCTGGCGGAGCTGACTTCGACCCTAGTGAGTAAATAAATAAAATATAAATAAGTTGATATAATTAATATTCATTGGTTCATATACCGAGCTAAAATAAGAACATACTCGGATTTTTCTTTGATGACATTTTTACATTTATGTTGTACTTTTTCATTATACTTGGTTTATGTTTATTTTTGACCATACTCCGCTAGAAGACATTACAATGTGCAAGATAATAGAAACATCTTGCATTATACTTTTGGGTTTGACAAAATTTCCGGAGAAAGATATCAATGTGGAGGACTGGCAACGAAGGGTGCTATTTAGATCTGTATATCTGTACGCCAAATCATAGATCCGTTTTCAGAATCTAGTCTCAAAACTCGTCTTCGTATACACTTCCCCCTCTGACTGCGGTAAAATGCACCTCCAGCGGAAAAGCTACATCACGAGCCTATTCTCGGTTCGCATGGCGCGCGAGACGCGTCGCATCAATTTCGGTGCGTTAGAAACGGATTCATCGAAAAATGGAAGACGGGAGAAGAGACACAAGTAGCAGCAGTAGCGGCAGGACGAGGAAAAGGAGTAGGGAACCGTACTAGCGCAGTCAGCTGGTCGTGACGTCACGCGATCATGTCGTGGAGCTGGGTCGCGTGGTGGGAGGTGCAACGGTGTCACGTGGTCAGGCTGTGAAGTCACGTGGCGCGCGTGGTTCGCGGACGCAGAAGCCGGTGCTAGGCGGTCGCTGATTGGCCAGGACGATTTCACCACCATGATGTACGCATTCCATCGGCATGACGGCGGGCTCCATGAATGACCGGCACGTCATTCGTGTAGGATTTCGCGTCCGACGACACGTCGTCGTCGCTCGGTGTCGTTCCTGTGTCCAGTTTCTCGTCGGACAATATGTTCCGTATGGTCGCGCGTCGTGCTGTGCGCCGAGAAATGGAAAGAACCGCGACCGCAACGTGCGCGACCAGCCAACGAAACGCGATGTGTCATCTCGAGATGACTGTGCTGTTGCGCTGACGGTTTTTTCACCCAGTTCTCGTGACACATCATCGCGGCGATTTCTCTCTACACCTTTTTTCTTCTCTTGTTCTCCCCCGACTCTGTGAAAGTTTCGAGTGGATCGCATCCGCGGTGTATTCTCGTTCGTCGCTTGGAAATCCTGCTTTAATCTGTCAGCGGTAAAGCCGGCTTGAAGTCCGTTGCACTGTGAAGATAGCGCGTGTCCGCGATCGGTCGGCCGACTCACTCACGAGTCGCTTTCGCGATCAATCGTGTTCAGAGCGACGCGCGTGAAATCTGCGAGTAATTTTCTGCCGGGACGGTTACGGGAGTGTCTTATTTTATCGCCGTGCGCGGAGCCGTTCTAAATCGAATAAGTGCTATTTAGAAAAATGTTGTGGCATTTTTCGCGACGAAAAAGTGACCTGTGCGCAATTTTTTTTATAGTTTATAGTGCCCTTGCCCTCGCAAGTACATTGAACTTGCAATTTACCAAGTGCCTTCATGAGAACCGTTTTAAGTGATGTTTCGTCGGTTTCGAGCAGCCCTGCGAGAAATTTATAAGTAATACCAGACCACGGATAGAACTTCTGTCGAAGTGGGCAACGATAATATAGTGGATTTTATTAAATAAGTGACACAATGGGTGAAATTATAGAAATATCGCAAAGTGATACTCAACCAGATGCTGTGAATGGCTGGGGCGATACTATGGGCAAAATACAGTACTGGTGTCCTGAAGGTAGCTGTTATTCATTAATCGTGGTAATTCGAGATTAATAATATGTCATTCGAGAGAAATACGAAACGATATTGATAGGCCACTATCATCAGTTTTATCTGTTCCAGTTTTTACGACGAATTATAAATGTTTAAGTAAAAATCACCTTTTTTCGATCGATTTTTAATTCTTCTAAAATTGACATAGCGTACACAAACAATTTTAGTACTATATCCTGTGAAGACGTTACGAAACGGCAGACCAATGATTCGAAGTTCAGGGCATATTCTAAATACGATAAATATTACGAGTTCTAATTCCCTTTTCGTCGTAACGATCACTCTTAAACATCCCTAGAAATTGTACGTGGACGGTCTAGGTTAGGTTGCGTGACGCAAGGTCTGAAACAAGCCGACGTCTGGTTTTCTTAAACGTTGGCATTTTGACGAAGTTGGAAAAAAGTTCTAGAAACTCGAAGCACGTTACTGAAATGCTTGTGATAAATGTTAAGAATTTCATATTCAAAATGATGGATTTGTTCGTTATAAAAAGAGAGGAATGTGCTTTTCACTCGTATCTTACGACAGTTGGCAAATCCCTTGGAATTCCCAGCAACAATCGTAGTTTGACAAACACAGAATATTAATTTAAACTAATTGGAAAACGATGTGCATGCAACTTGGAGGATCTGGGTGTCGTTCTTTATCAGCCTTTGTGTCTCCCACGGAGATAATTTACCGACCGTGAGAAAGATACGAACGCGGAATTCGCAGAAATCCATTGGCGCTTTCGTCACTCGTTCTAACGAATATTGTAACGTCATCAAAGGTTATGGGCCACTGCATTTCACGACGAATACGTGCACTTTTCTTCTCGTGCGTGGAAACGCGTCGTTTGAAATTTTTAGCACGATCAATCGTCGGGTCGGGAATCGTGCCCGATATAACCTCACATTTATCCCGACTCGGGGTTCATTAAAATTTGTCTCGTAATTAATGCTCGCTACGTCGGTGAGTTTACTCTTCGATTCTGCTGAATGATATTGCGACCTTTTAGACGAGCGTCGTTAGACTTTGAACGGTTGGAATGCTCCCGTGAAGCGATAAGCTCTTAGTTTTAAGTACTGACAAAAATTAAAGGCGGATTTCAATCGCTCGTTTTTATAGGGAATTTAACGCGGAGCGTTGGTATTTAGGCGTCTCGAAATTTCTGGTTCCAGGTAAAAATCAGGAAAACAATATCGAAGAATTGCGCTCGAATTAATTACTGCGATTATATAATATATATTGAGAACCTGAAAATGTTTAATCTTTTTCTTTTTGTTGTTTTAGATAATATTTCCATTTTAAATATGAACTATCGGTGATAACGAAATATCGGTTCTTGTGGGAGAAAGAAAAATTCGTTTGTAGGTGACTTTTCTTGTTGCTGGCAAAACAAATGATTAACCACGCTTCCGCGTCGAAGTTGATAAGCAGTATATCGCAAATATTTATTTCTATTCGCTCATCTATGAACGTATAACGTAACAACCTAAATATTCTTTGCCTGAAAGTAGTACTTATTATGCTGCTGTTGTTGATACTTTCTAAATTGAGAATGCAATGGCAATAACCCATGAGGGAAAACCACAAATATGGATGACCTTTGTTACCTCGAAGGTCGTGACCTTGAACAATTACAAGCGCCAGGGCTGTAGTGTCATACAATCGATAAAGATGTCTATCATACAGGCAAACGTGTTATTCGATTTTTAATTAAGGTAAGATAAAACTGAACTCTTCAGTTTTTAAATTAACTTTCTTATAATTGAACATTATACTCGTATAATCGCAACGATATCTTTTGACCTATTTCTAAGTTCATTGCCAAGATCTTAAATTTTTGCTGGGCCATGTATATTTAAAAATTTAACCATCGAGTCGTGTAATTTTCGGCGTATTACGCTGACCTGTTAACTACATTCTCATTATTATTCAAACGACGATGTTCTACATACGCACCAAGAGCGGAGTTCCTACTTCAATTTACATCTTTCTAAATTAATTAGGTCGTAGAAACACAATGCCAGGGCGTACCAAGTCCTACACGGTGTCCACGTGATGCACTTGAAGCGATAGTGATTTAGGGAAAGGATAAATTAATTAAAGCTGTCTTAGCATTTTAACTAGTTAAAACAACACGATTTATGTGTATTGAGAAGAAAAGTTTGAGAAAAATAGAAACATAGGATCCGGAATCTTCAGTTTGAAGTATCGACACAATTCATAGAATACAAGAACGTCATTTTATAAGCTGTATATGGACACAATAATAGTGTATTTTGCGTCCAAAAACATCAAAGCACTGTGAAGAGTAAATAGAAGTAGAATAGTCTGTAGTTCCAGTTCGAACAATATGAGTTGGCCGCTCAAGGCCACTGGAACGCCCTCCCCCCTACTGTAACACTTGACTGCCCCCCACTACTGTGTGTCTTGTCTCTTTGTGAAACGCACGCCCTCTGGCTCTTGAAAAAGAAGACAAGATACGAAAGTAGGAATCGTGTTCGATCTATTTGATTTTACACCGAACTATGAACTGCAACGTTCAACGTCAAAACTAAAGAACGTTATTGAATAATAACGTAAACAATTAACCGACTCAATAATTAAATCTAAAATATGCTTGACCCAGAAAAATTAAAGGTTTCCGATAGAGCCACAAAGTTGGTCAAAATGTAACGTCGCGACATTAATTAGAAGAAAGTTAAATCCCACAGTTTAATTCGAAATCGAACACGTTTGCCCGTATGATAGAAATCTTAACGACAGTTATCTCGATAATGGTTAAAAATAGAGTGCGCGCGACCTTTTTAGTTCAAGGACAGGAAAATCCTGCATGTTGTGACGTGGACATTCACGCTCGTCGTTGTGGCAAGTTGCCTATGTTATGCACGCATGGGAACGTACCTAAGAGTAAAATTTCGAGGGCCCCGGGACATAGAACATTTTTATATTTCGAACGCATACGTCGAGCCCGGTACGGCGGAAAGGGTTGACCTACATTTTCAAATTAGGTTTGGAATATGAAAAATTTTGCGAACCCGTGGCATGGTCGGGAGGCATTGCTGGAAAACCACTAACGGTACAAAAATTCAATGAGCTCGTGTCCATCATGAATCATGCATGCGGAGCGGTGCATTCATAGCGCACGGACGTCAAGCTTCAACTATTGCTGATGCGTAACGCGCAAGGGTCGGGGGGCAGGAAGGAAGCAAGATCAGAAGATATACCTAACGATGTGCTCAAGACGCTTTAAATCGCTTTGTACGCTTTGCAAAGTCTTGGACATCCATTTTAATGCGAAAAATTGTTACTGCCCTTGACCGCGCAGGGACTCGATATTTTTCTTCTTATAAACTTTTCAAAAAGTCAGAATTAAGGTTCTTTAACCCTTAAGTGGCCCCACAATCTCAACTGAATTATTTAAAAAAAAAAATCAACTTTTTTTTTTGTAGCATTTAAAAAATAATAAACTGATGGAGGATTACATCAATTTTCGCCAATTACATTGACATATGTTGTACAATATTAGTTTAAACTTGCGGAGGGTTGAATTCATCAAAGTCGAGACACACTTTTCAGCGACAATAATTAAAAAATTTGGAAGTAAGATTTTTCAAAGTCTTGAAAGCCCTGTCTCCAATTCTTTAATTACATATGCCTCGATTAGTCTGAATATCTAAAAAAATTGCGAAGAATTTAATTTCGTCGGCTGAAATGAGTCCATCGCAGTCCCTCCCCCTTCCAGGGAGCGTCGCCGTCTAGCGAACCTGTTGCTCCCGTGTAAACCGCCGGAACGTTCCTGGCCGTCTTCCGATTCGAAATTCGAACCGAAATCGGTGGAAATTTTCGTGGAAGACGAAGCTCTCTCTGGCGGGTGAGCGTCGCGGTGGGCTACGGCGGCAGCGGAGGCGCTAAGGTTAACGCGTCGACGCGCCGTGGCGTCGAAGGCAGAGCAACCGTCGTCGGGGCGGTCGTTCATGGAAACGGCGTGGCGGTGGGGCCGTTCTGGAAGGGAGAACGGAAATATGCAGTTCGTATTGAGGCAGGTCGGTGCAGCGCCACGAGTCGCGCTCCAGGCGCAGAGATCAATGCACCCGCCTCCTTCGCGGCTCGCCGTCGACGTCCACGTCGAGTCCGCCTCGTAAATCCGCGAACGGTACAGCGGGGACTAGCCTCGCCTGGCCCTGGACGAGAAGAAATGGGAAGATACCCCGGTTACGTAAGAAGAAAGCACGCGAAAGGGACGTCGTGAAAACCGCTGTCAGGGGGACCCCCCGGAGATGTTCGCGGACCGGTGTTCGACACTCTCGAAAAGTAACCGCATCGTAGGTTCGGAGGAAGGCAGTGATCGAAGGAAGAACATTAACCCTTTGGTTGTCCGAGTAGCGAGAATGGTCTGGTAGCCTTGTGGCTGTAAGCTCGCGGCTGGGGGAGATTCCGATGAATCCTTGGTCTCCCGATGGTGACCTAGGCGAGGCAGGTGCACGGAAGGTGGAGTCGAAGAGAGAGGGCACGCGAGATTGGAGGATGACGGAGGAAGGCGAGCCAGGTTGCGCGGAGACGCAGCTAGACGGCGACGAGGACGACCAGGGTGAATCGTCGGTGTAATGGTCGCGGGGGGGACATGCACCAGGCCCGAGGGAGACGAACACCTAGCCAACGATCATGACCGAGTCGAGGAGGATCGTCTGTCGCGTCGAGTCCGTATATTGTTCGCGCTGGTGCCGGCGCTGATAAATACCAGAGACTGTTATGAAGGGGGAGGGTGAAGAGGTGTGCGCGACGACGTATCGACGGGGATGCGAAGCCGAGATTCCGTCACGGAGTGTTCTCGACCCTGTCCCAATTTCCCAGCCCGAGGCTCGATAGGGACGATGCTACGGATTGACGAGGCCGCGCTTGACCGGGTCTCGGTGACGGGGGAAGGAGCTTCTCGTCCAGAATTGAAAATAGTAATCGATTAGGGGTAGCGGAGAGTAAGATATCGAAAGGGGGGTCAGGGGGGCAGGAGAGGAGGAGGAGGGAGGACCGGGAACGCGAAGAATGTGCAGGTGCATGGACTTTCGTAGCATAGACAGAATGTTCAAGAGCAGGATCTTCCAGGGCGACCTCAGCCCTGTCCCAATTCCAGGCAGCCTGCAACAGTCCAGTACGTAATCAGAGAAACCCCTTACGGTTTGATCGATCGTTCGTCGCGCTGTTCGCGCAGGGGATCAATCCTTCAGGGTTCTGACTTATGGGCCACCGCGGGAATTGGCTCGGATACCCGGCACCCCGCCCTTTTACTCGAAAATAAATTCATGAGTCGCGGGGGAAATAGCGTGAGTGCCAAACAATTGAGGAAAAGGGAATCTTTTTTTTCGTTAACAAAATTACGTATGCAATTTCATGCACCAAGAGTAGAAGGAAATAAATCTAGGCAGGACTCTACGCTAGTTTCCAATTGTTTGAAAACAAAGTCTCGTTTTCGTGGACGATTCGAGGGGTCTGGCAGTGAATGCGTCAACACATTCTCGTTTTACGACAAGTGTGTGTTTTTCTAGTAATTTCTACAATAACGCGAGAAAACAATTCTAATATTATCCACGTATAACTCCCGAAAATTTCAATAAAATATATTAATTACGTTGTTCACGAAAGTCTGCTGGTCGAACTGTAAACAAATGAAAACCAATGCTGGGGTTTTTTACTATCAAAGAAATGAAATTGTACTCTTACACGTGGCATTTGTTTTATCATTTTGGCACCTACGCTACTTTCCACGAGAACCCTTCAATTATTAAACAAACCTTTTTCTAATGCTGATTTTTGGTGCAAGAAATCCTATTTGCCCATCGATGAATTAACTTTTCAATTCCATAGCTAGATTGATCTAGGGAATTACGAGTTGCAGCAATTAATATATTAATAAGTATACATATGACTGATACCAGATTACGTGGCCCTCCCCAAAATCATCCAACTTTTCTCCGAAACATTTTAACGAACGCTAGTATGGTAATTCCGCGTGAAAAAAGTGAATCAAAAGTATAGAGTAAAGTTTGTTTCGTGCAAGCTCTTGTTTTCGAGGCGAACGACGTTGAAAATGTATTGGGCACGGACGCAATTATTGACTTTGTCATACTTAACGTGAATTATTTGTTTCGACTGGTTCTAGCTAGTTACAAGACGGTAAGATCAATGAAAAATAGATAATGCCGTGGCACAATCGATGTTAAAATACCAACGTAAGTAGAAATAACGAGTGATGGTCAGATATTAGTCGTACTCGATGGCATCGGTGCCCAACGAATATTTAAAATCAATTTTCTCGAGCACAAAGCGTCGTATCAAGAAATTTTATTCTACATTTTCCAGTCACTTTTTCTATTGTAAATTTAATATTTATTTATGAATATTATTATTATATATGTAAGGAGGTGAGAGGAATTGGACCAATAGAGAATATTTGTCATAGTTGAAAACAGTTATCTTACTCTTCGTTTGAGTCTTGCCATTCGTTATTCTTCAACTATGATAACCCGGGGATTTTTCACACACAAAGGATATTCTAAAATCTTTAATAGGAGATTCTAGAGGCCAAAATAAGACGAAAATGAAGGATACTAATTTGTTGATTGAGGCTTCGTTAAGAAGTTATAGAAACATTTCAGGCCACACGGTATATTTTCGCTAAAGAATTTTTTTTCTCGAAAGTGCGTAGGATTTCGGGGATATATGTATTGACCAAAAATGATTATAATTCACCCCTCCAACTAAAAATAATTTTTTGAGAACGATTTGAAATTTTTCAATTTTGTCGAAAAATTTCACACCTACTCGAATTTTTTTCTCGAAAATGCGTAGGATTTCTGGGGTATGTCTATTGACAAAAAATGATTGCAATTAACCCCTGCAACTAAAAATAATTTTTTCAGAACGATTTGAAATGTTTCAACTTTGTCGAAAAATTGATCCACTTATTGAATTTTTTTCTCGAAACTGGTTAGGATTTCGAGGATACGTCTATTCATCAAAAATGATTGCAATCGACCCCCGCAATCGAAAATAATTTTTCCGTGAATGATTTCAAATTTTTTAATTTAATTTTTTAACGAAGCCTCGAATTTCCCATTAAAATTCTTTACAATAATTCTTTATTTTAAAAATCGCTTAAAGTCGACATCCCCCAAGTAGAAATACTCTTTTAAATACTGAAAAACCGGGCACGCTTCGTCCTTAGTTACGAATCGATTAATATTCTCAAAACATGGACACCCATGACCTACATCCATTATTTCCTCTACGTCATCGCTGACCCAAGTACCCGTCTCACGAACTTTGTCCCTTAAAGTCTTTTTTTCCCCGATATCCCCGTCGACTGTACACGATTCGATCGAGTTCCTGGGTCGAAATCAGAGATGAGGTTTGCACGGGGGGGAAAGGATAAGATGACGCCGATAGCGCGAAAAAGTAGGTAGAGGTGTATCCGGCCGGTAGTGGGGTACCAAAGAGGTCATCGACCTCTCTGCAGCTGTTATTGATCGGCGAGGACTAGCAACATCGCTTCGCCGTTTTGTCGAACTCCGTTCGTCCTGTCCCGAAGGACCTGTTTTCTCCTGCGCGTAAAACCACGGATTCGACCGACGATTACACCTCGTTGCCCGCCTTGTTCGCGTCTTAATCTACGAATTTCGCTGCTTCGACCCAGAAAGCTTGAGGGAATTCAGCGGAGAGAGCTTCGAGCGCAGGCTGACCCAATAAACACTGGGTGACCTATTTCTGGACTCCCTATCCCACCCATTTCCTCGTCGTCCCCTTCGACAGCCATGAAACAGCCATGATGATTGCTACGGCCATGGAACAAGTGGGTCGTGGAATTTGTTTAGGAATATTATTACAACGGACAATAAACGTTGGGTAGCCATAACCAGCACAGGATGCAAAATTCGAACCTCGACGAACGTATTAAATTTAATGGATGATCACAAGATGGCCGAAACGGTAGACTAAAATTCGATAATACACAGAATTTCTTAGAAACGAGATTTATAGTCTGCGGGTCAGATGTGACTCCATCGTCCAACTGTTCTCTATTAAATCGAGGACTTTTTGCTCCTATTTTAAAATTTATTCACGTTCGAGGCTAACTATCTGAGACAATCTTTGTACGATAGTCACGGTGATTAGTCTAACTCCGTTTGTACGACGTTCCAGGTCAGCAGAGTCAGCAGGGCGAGCAGGAGTTGGCGACGAAGATGCTTCAAATTCAGAGTAAAAGATTCTATCTCGATGTAAAGCAGAACAGACGTGGGAGGTTTATCAAAGTAGCCGAGGTATTTTATAATATTCTTAAGGGGCTCGCGACGAGCCGCTAGCGGATAAGAAATCGTCTTAAGCGGAGAGAAAGGTACTGAAAGGTGATGGTTCTTTTTGCAGATTGGTGTAGACGGAAGGAGAAGCCAAATCTACCTGGCGCTCAGCACAGCGTCCGAGTTTCGGAACTACCTTTCGACGTTTAGCGACTTTTATGCATCCTTAGGTAAACTGCGATTCTCACAAGATTAACAACACGTAATATAGTCGTTGTCTTATCCTTAGAAGGATAGGATTAAGGGGAGGGAGGGAAATGTTATATTATTTATCGTCACTTGCGTCTTTAACCCCTTAAGGCATCAAGGAGATATTCTCCTAAGAAGCCAAACGAGTTGCATGAGTGAACAGTTTAAACTCTGTAATGGAATATTTCTTTTTCACTTTATTACTTGCTGATCTACTGCAAAGAGGCCATATTTCTTTAGAGTTCACTTCAACTGTTAAAAGGGCCTCTAAAAATCAATTGTAGAAAATAGAAAGGACAGCAGGTGTTCAACGCCTGTAACTTACTCTTAAATACGTTTGCAAACATTCGCCATGCCTTAAGGGGTTAAGAAAGATAACGTGTAAACTAAAGGTTGTCTTCTGTACCGGGTGTTGTAACCTTGCAGGTCCACCGAGCTCGGAGAACGTACCAAACGATGGGAAACTGAAGTCAGAAGTGATGACGAAGGATAACAGGCGGTATTACTTGGACCTCAAGGAAAATACGCGCGGCCGTTTCCTGCGGGTGAGTCACCCTGTATGTACCAGCCAATGCATCTACTTTGTACGATAGGTGATAAGGAGGGTCGCAATCAATCTGTCGTGGATATCATCTTGAGGTGCAATCTGTTTCGCAGGGTAAAAAGCACCCAGGATAATCGTTCTGAATTTAGGGATCGAGCGTTCATTGTCACCGGTGGATCTCCATCATCTACACGCACACGTTTTAAGGGAATCGTGTCGAAGACATTTATTGAAGAGCCAACGTTTGGTTCACAGGTGTCGCAGACGATCACACGAGGGGGTCCCAGGACGCAGATCGCGATACCGGCGCAGGGTATGATCGAGTTCCGTGACGCGTTGACGGACCTTCTCGAGGAATACGGCACGGACGACGGCTACAAGGGTGACTTGCCAGAGGGACGGTACATGCGCGTGGATAGCAAGAATTTCTATTTTGATATCGGCCAGAATAACCGTGGTATCTACATGAGAATTTCCGAGGTATATATACAGTGCAGACTAAAGATATACACTTGGGTGTATCGTAACGCGCGAGCCATCGCTTCAGGGGTGGATTCGGAACAATGTCCTATTTCAGTCTGCATTCGAGTCGCAGCCGTTTTTATTTACCGGCATGAGTATTCACCTAATTTTAAAATAGGCTGCAGCTTCGGGTGCGCCGTACGCATCCGAAGCAATTTATGCTTTGCTACGAACCAGCGTTTACAGAAAATATACGCGCGATACTCGATATAATCGGAGGATCGTCTACTCGAGCAAGAATTGTGCTTTGAACTGTGTATTTTGTCGCGAGTAGCTTGCAAAAATATCACAAGCACGATATTGGGGAAATTGAACCTTCTGTTATGACAACGAAGACTTATAGTGAGCAAAATTGCTTTAGCGAACGAGGCATCTAGGAAGAAGATGCCATTCTACCGTTTCGATACGCGTTTTCATTGAGTTTAGCAATTTTATTAATTCCTTGACGTAGTTGCAGTGCTCGCAACAAAGATCAGATTTGTATTGCAAATGCCTCGAGAACGTATTGATTTTGATGTACGAAAGTTCACGACGAGTGTAGCCTCGTCATTGTACGTCAAGGGGTTAATTTACCCATGCAGTTGTGATAAACATGACGCAAATGGGTAATTTTATTTTTTTCAGGTGAAGACGCACTTTAGAACAGCAATCACTGTACCAGAGAAATCCTGGGCGCGTTTCCGTGATATATTTGCAGATTACTGCGAAAGTATGAGGGAAAGGGGTGCCGGAACCAACGTTGGTATGAACAGCGGCGGCGGAGGAAATGTCTTGCCCGAGGGGAGGGGCTCGGTGGTGGCACAGGTACCATCACCATCGACCTCACAACAGCCTAACCCCAATCCAAATTTAGACTCTCCCTTAATGAAGTGAAAAAGGCTTTAACTTAACTCGAATATTGGAATTATAACCGTAACTCGTTTTCAAGTCATTAAGCGAACTAAAGGAACTTGTCAGAGTCTATGCCATCGTCATCGCCATTTTCATCGACATCGACATTGTCATCGTCATTGTCACCGTCACCATCACCGTCATCGTTATCGTCACCGTCACCGTCACTATCACCGTCACTCGTCGTCAACTGAAAACACCAAAACTCGCCTGGAATGGTTATATATTATCGCAGAGAAATCACAACCGTCAGCTGATCGTTGAGCATAAGATCCGCGATCGCGCAGATCCCGCTAAAGTGGTCGTGCGATCCGATCAAACGTTATCAACCGATCGATAATATCGGCGCACGTTGAAGAGAAACGATGAAGAATAGTGGAAGGAGGATAGATGATGACGTGCGTGCGCATACGCGTGCGCACGCGCGTATGTGTGTGTGTGTGTGTGTGAGAGTGTGTGTGAGTGTACGAAAAAAGAAAAAAAAAAAAGAAAAAACGAGTCCTGCCGCTCGTGTGATTAACACAGGAGATAGAAAAATAACGCAACGACGGGAATCGAGGATATAAGAATTATCGCGCGATAACGTCCTTAGGTGGATACGAGTTGCCATCGATTAACGTTATGAATGCTACCGTTCATTTCCTGGCTATTTCTTTCCTTTTCCACGCATTGGTATTCGATTCCTTTACTCTTCACGCTTGTTTCCGCTTGTGAGAAAGAAAAAAAAATAAAATAAGAATATGAATCTTGCTAAACCTCGATCGACGTTACGAAAAGAAAATATTGAAAAAGAGACAAATTCATGGCGGGAAATGAACCGTAGCGAGGATCACGTTACAATTGAATTTGATCGTTCAGAATTTATGAATAAATGAATTGTTATATTAACGATTATATCGCAAGGGAGAAAGGAGAGCGTGGTGTGGGGTAGTCGCGTTAGACAAAAGTCAAGCGTTGGAAAGCGGTATCACGTTGCATAGACTTAAAAGAGAGAATATCCTGGCGCGCGTGGCGACTCGGACGTTTCCAAAATCTCGTCGAATTTATCGTTCGTCGTGCTACGCGACGAAACTGGAGAGCCGATGTGAATTGCCAACTGGATGAAATTCAGGACTGGCGACGGATAAAAATTTTGGGAGAATAGTTTGTTCAGATATCGACCAGGAGTTCCGTACAGCGTAGACTGACAATTGGCAGCGTTACTGTCGTGAAAATTTGAATCTTTCGAACGTAGTATGGGTTTATTTCGCAATATCAAGCTTCGACAAGTTTTATTTGAAATAACAGGCATTTCGAAGCATATAATTTTTGTGAACACATTGGCCATTTTCCAGGAGTATTTCGTTATTTTATTCCTCAAATACAGAAATATTATTTTCAACGTTGTTTAAACAAAATAAGATGACATATTTTAAATAATATTTTAAATATTATTATTGAGAAAGTGCCCAAATCTGATGCGTATCTCGCTAACGGGGAATTCTTTGTAGCCCCTTGCAGTACCTTCGCGTGACCTGACGCTGTTGATTCGCTCTGTTTCTTTTCCTTTTAAACATTCACGGAACGCGCGCGCGTTATTCTTTGTCGAAAAGTCTAGTCGTCGGCGACGAAACAAAGTGTTTACACGCTCGCCGCGCGAGAACGTTAAATCACAATTTTAGACCGCGACGCCGCACACACTCGTTTACAAACTGAACGACGTCTCTATTAAAGTAATTATGAAATAATATATAACATAGGCGAAGAAAGGATGATGCTAGGCGAATACGAATCCCTATAATATGTATATTATAAAAAGTTAATTATGTTATGTTTTGTTTCATCGATTCGTACGAGAAGTGCGCGTACAGACACGAATGCATGGTGTCTGGATATAGAGACGCCAGTACAGAATGCAATACACGAGTCATAAATATATATATACATATATACACACGCGCGTCGATACATTAGACGCGTGACACGCATGCACTGAAAAGTAAAAAGGATACACTGTCACACAGAGGAGACACACGGGAAATCAAACAAGTTTCATACATACACACACACGCACACACAGAGCAAACACGAAATATTTCCATCATGAAAGATGAACGGTACAAGAGACGGTGTGCACGCGTACGTAATTTACGTTACGTTTGAGTGACGGCCGAGTTCTAACACAATTGCATATTAGGTATGTATTATACGAATGCATATTAGGTATTTATATAGAATCTATATAACTGTATAATTGTAACGAAATGCCAATGTCCATGGACCCAGGCAACTGTATCACCTGGCAACGCGTGGATCAATCGAATTGAAGGTGTTGCGGGCCTGCAGTCGCTTAGGTCCAATGTCCCTGGACGCAGGAAGAAAGATTAATGAGACAAAACGAATGGGAAAGGAAAAGGCAAATAATATTTCAAAACGAACGACCGAGCTGGTGGAGAATTAACGCAGTCGAGTTATTTCTCAGTGGAAATGGAAAATCTTAATACGCTTTGATTCTGCAACGCTGTGCTAATATCAACAATGATAAAAGAAAAGAAGAAAAAAAAAAGAAAAAAAAATAAGTGAAGAATATCTATCCGTTCCCTTGCGTTTCTTCTAATTGAAACGATAAACCGAACTAATTAATCGTGGATGTTTCGCACTGGTGCGGAATTAATCGAGCAGTGAACGGCATAGATGCATTAAACGCATAAAGTGCTATTTAATTAAAGGACGCGTACGGTTCGTGCGTTACCGGGCGCGTCTCACGTTTGAAGAGATGAGTAAAAATTTTATTTATTTTTTAGCAATGAACCTATTATCTATTTCGATAAGATATTTCTTTGATTGCATTTCCTTCTAAATCGACAATTTCGGCTGGTCTGAATTTACTTAGCACGTAGGTTTTTGATGATATAATGAAATATAAATCACAATAACAAATTCGAATACGCACGAGTGGGTGAACTGTCGAAGACGAAGATCCCCCGATCCTCTTCAATTTGAGAATAGTTTGAACTTTATGTGATTATCCTTTTCTTCTCGTTGTATTATTATTAATATTATTTTATTACTATTATCATTATTATTATTATTATTGTTGTCATTCTCTTTTTCTTTTTTTTTTAACGCACCGAACGATTATGTCGACGGAGTTACCGGACGTAGAATGAAATAGCTGACGCTGAAGAGTGAACCTCGAATCGATTGTTTGCACGCTAGTGTTTTTGACTGTATAACTTTTGTTTTGTTTTTTTTTTCTTGTATGCAACTTTGTCAAACATTGTTGAGTTCAAGGGGGTCGGTGTATAAGCCCGCGATCTGTGCACAAGCATATTGTCCAAACCCGAGCGTTCTGATGGAAACGGCAAAGAAAAGGCATAGAAAAAAAAGAAATCGTTCACTGGCGCAGATGGTATGACATTGTGATCTATACAAATTACAAATTACAAAGCATCAACAAGTAGTAGATATTTAAGATATAAATACACACACGTACACCTACGGTGACCTAGACGCATTGTCTAACTATGTTCGCGAACCGCGTGTATAGGCATGTACACACGGAAAGAAAAGATCACGTTATTAAAAGTGAGGACGACTACAACGTACCTAACTAAGCAAAACAAACAAAAAAGAAAAAAACAGAAAAACAAAAAACAAAGAAACACAGAGAGACAGATTATAAACAAGGAAGAAAGATCGTCTGACACGTAAAAAGTAAGCAAAGTAATATAAAAGTAAAGAAAAGATGAAAGAAAAGATGAAAACACGACGCTCCTGCCACGCAGCGAGTCCTTAGACAGCTTTAAGATAATAATTATAAATGATAAATAATAATTATTATTAAATAATAACGATAAACTTTCTATATGTTGAATCGTGTCTAGTGAGAGAAGTACTATTGAAGTAAAACAAAAAAATGAAAAAATTTACTATCGCCCACACACACATGGATTAAACACAGTTTATAATGACCATTAGTTGTCTATCGAATGTTCTCTTTTTTTTTTTTTTTCATATAGCGGAGAAGGTGATTGTTAGAGAATAGCTTGGTGTTTCGTTTGCTGTTTTACAAACGTTGTAATGGTTGGCGATCGGCGAGCCTTTTGCTAGATGTTGATGTCAAAAAAAAAAAAAGGCAGCCGAGGTCCACGCCTACGTTTATATTTGGTGGGGCTTGTCCACTACTGTTATCATTATCACTGCTATTATCACGTAGGGTTTCCATACCATGGCCCCCCGGCGTTTCGCAAGCTGTGCGCGTAGAACCAATGATGTCCTGTTACTAATTATACAATAATCGGTCTCCCGCGGGAGAGAGAGAGAGAGAGAGTGTGCATGTTACCCTTTCATTAATTCTACACTTCTTGTTAGTGTAGCTCTTTATCTATGGCGGAACGTTAGATTAATTGTAAACCTTAATCGCGCCAAAACTTTTTAACTCGCATTAAGCCGTTTTTCTCGCAGCTTGCGACAGGAGATTAAAATGCCGCGGTATGAAAACCCTGCGCTCGCTGCGATTATTCTTATTATCATTATTATTATTACGATTATATTGTCATTATACTTATTATTACGATTATCCTCTTTATTATTACTATTATTACTATTAGTACCATTTATTACCAGAGCACTAAGCAAGCGTGTCCCGATCCACCGATCGCAGGACCGGCCACGAGCGGGCTGATTTTTCTTCTGTTTTGTTTGTTTGTTTTTTTTTTCTCTTTATTTTTTTGTTTTTTTTTTTTTTCTTTAACCCTCTATTGCATAATGTGCCCGATCGGGAACCCAAGAAAGATAAGAATCCCTGTAAAGTTCACCGAGGACATTTTAGAGGATTTGCGTACCATGTTTTCTCGTAGGGACATCTAATAGCTCTGCATATTCAGCCACTTATCGTTTAGTTCATACATTAATTAATTCATGAATACATATATATATATGTATAAATAATTAAGAAATAATTTCTTCTTCGAGTGATAAAATGAAATTCAGAATTAGATCGATGGTTTGCTTTATAATAATTATTATTCGTAATCAGTGTAGTCTGAGCAAGGTTCATTAAAACGTTCTAGACCCCAAGGTTTCGGGTCCTCTTCGGTATATAAAGAAATTGTAAATATTAAAGAAAAAGAAAAAAAAAAGAAGTTACGTTGAAGTAAAGACATCAGAGTTTGGACTGACAATGGTCTATGTTATATATGTAAACAAAACTATAAAATCATAATAATTGTATATCTATGAAAACTGATAGAGTCATATATAAGACACAATGATTGTCATATGTACATACGTATTATATATAAAATGAAGTTCATGCAATAGAGGGTTAACTCGCACGTCGATTGTCGTCAGTCTGTCTCTCAACAAAAAAAAATCTTTTCACACCTTCCTGATACTACTGCTGTCTATGTTTCTGTCTTCTAATTTTTCATCGTTTCTCGATGGCTCCCCATTTCCCAGCCCCGTTCAACTTCTCTCACCTTCCAATCGGCCCACTCAGGTCTGGCGTAGAGTCAAGGTATAGGAAAAAAAAGAAAAAAACGTACGCGCAAAATGCAAACTCTGTGCAAGGGAAACGGGGCAAGAAAACGAACACAAGAATGAGAGAACAAGAATAACGACCGGATGACCGTACGACGCCAACCCGAAAAAAAACTTCGATCGACGACGTTTTAGAATTAGGCTCGCGATCACACGAAATCGCCCACCACCTACCTTCCCCCCCTCCCCACCCCGCATTTCTTTTTCGAAGGAAAATGGAGAAAAAAGGAAACGAAAGAAACACAAGGGGATCACCTTTTTGAGCGTGGCGTTTTCTTTTCTTCCTCTAGGCGCGCTCTCGCGTGTGTGCATGCGTGCGTGTATGTGTTCATGTGCGTGTATAGAGATAATCGAAGAGAGCGAGCTGTCTCTTCATTAAGGCAAGGAAGTAATAAATACGAAGAACCGATCGCGGGAATGATGCACCGTCGTGGGCGTTAGAAATCGATCGACCGAATGTATATGTACGCAGCGGCAATTTAACGTTGTTTTATTTGAATACTGTTGCTTTGCACCGCGAACAAATTGTGTACGTAATCGTCAGAATGTAGAGTGCAATTGGTACGGTGAAACTGTTACTTTAACCCTTCGCACTTACATCTAGCAGCAACACATTCCTCGAACAGTCCCGACTAATCCGTCAATTGCATCCTTCGCGTAGACAATGTTTTAAAAAAATGTATACAATGGTTTCGCAAAATTGTTCTTTCCTTAACGATGTTCCGTCGTCTTTGGTTCGAAAGCTTTTCTGAAGTTGCTGGCCAACTAACCCGGAAAAGTTCCAAGTGCAAGGGGTTAATAAACTATTTAGCATACTCGTAGATGATACGTTTTTTTTTCAATTTGATTTGAAAAAAAGATTATCGACTGACCGTTTAAACGTGTAAATGAATATCACTGCCTGATATGTACGATGGCCTTCGTCCGCAGAGGATTAATATTTTGGTGTAGCGTGCAAAGCATTTCTCATTGAGCGCTGTTAAATAAGTTTTGCAAATGCCAGCAGGTCGTGCCTTTTCGTCGGTCATGTTTCAGTGTTCTTTAATAAGCTTCGGTTAACGAACTTTGTAAATAGTTCTAAGGGATAATAGTAAGCACTCAGCACTCTGCATTCGTTTTTATCGAAGAATGCAAAGTAGTCGATAGGCAAATTCAAGCTTTCGCGTAATGGTACATTGTTTGCAAAATTATTGGCCCGTTTTTCTATGCAACAGCAGCGACGGTATGGCTCTGGATCTTTAGCTTTTTGCTCGGTAGAGTACAAATTCCTAAAAATCCATTACAACGTGGTCGAATTTTTTTTTTTTTTTTTCCAACCGACTTTCGTTGAACTTCAGGTGCATCGTTTCCGATATCGGGTAAACGTTACAGAGACGCGATACTAAGAACGTTTAAACGGTTCGCAGCTCTTAAACGTTATTTATTTCGAGGATCGATAACAGCATAATACTATTGTTATATAAACTAATCGAGTCAAGTTTTCAAAATGTTACGAGCACGAGGATGATCTGTCGGATACGGTTCATACTAATTATTTCTTCGGATCAACGTTTTCTCGCCATAGTTTGTAATATTTTAATATATTAATTATTAAAAGGGATAAAAAACGAGAGGAGAAGAGAGGGAGCAAGTCCGAGTCGGTTGGGGCGAAAGATCGGACCGCGTGGCGCACGGTTGACGATTGCCAGGCTCGCCTGCGATCGCTGATCGACGTACGTGGATCACGAACGAGCGACGACCTTTCGCCCGCGTTGCAAGGGAAAAGAACGATGGAGAAAAGAAAAAAAATAAAGAAATACTAAGAGTGTTACTAAAAGCGATAAAAAAAAAAAATAAAAAACGAACCACTGGGTACACGTATACACGGCCGTGTACGCGCGTATTTTGTTGGATTAATTGTATGGTCGAAGGACAAGATAGATCGCGATCGAACGGAAACAAAATGCATAGGCAGAGTGAGAGAGAGAGATGGAAAGAGAAGTAACGATAAGAGGAACCGATACTCATTTTAAGCACGACAGCTGTCCGTCTATTTGACTTGTGTGTTCGACGAAAAAAAAGTAAGAAAATGGAAACGAAAACAATGGGAAAAAATAGTAACAGTACTACTACGGCTCACACGTTTGAAAACAAAACATTTAAACAAACAAACAAAAAACAAAAAAAAAAAAATGATTCATCGCCTCGATGTTAAATGTAACACGTTTTACAAGGTAACAGAGCATTTCATTTTATAACATTTCTACTGTCTATACTTTCACCCGGACATTCTCACGAGTAGACGAAAGTAGTAGGCGGTCCATGTGCTCCCCACCTCCTCTTTCTATCGATTGCAAATGTGCTACGCGCAAGCACGTGTTTGGCACACGTTATCGCTGCAAGCGTTTCTTTCGACGATCAAAAGATCGATTGATCGCTAAAAAAAAATCACTAAACTGGTGCCCCCCACCATGTAGTCTGGGTTACTCCCACCTGGGTTTTAAGCAACCATTTTGATTTGAAAACGTTTGTACATGCCGCGATAACGAGTCCTGAACGCAAGCCATAATTCTTTTTCGTTTTTCACCAAAAGTGCAAGAAGAGAGCAGTGGCTTTTTGGGCGTTCGCCTTCGATATTCTAAAAAAAGTTATCATTTAGAGGTCTTGTCGATACTTAGAATTCGTCTCTAAACGTCCACGCGAGTTGTTTTAGAAAAGGACATTTTATATTTTCAAGGTGTAACGGTATGCGCATATTACGTGCATAAACATGTAGAAACTAAATGTTGAACTTAAAACGATTTTGATCGCTTCTGTTAAAAGGGAAGAAGAAAAAATAAGTAGGATTCGAAACCGAACTTGGTGATGATTATGATTAAATCAAAAGAGTAACATTACTTGAACTTTCACGATGAATGCTTCTTTTTTGATCACATGTTTTGTGTACAGGGCGATTCATACGACGGTCTGTACCCAATTACAAGGCGAAATCTGACGAAAAACGTTACAGAGGAAAGTATTGAAAGTTAACTTTCTGTGACTTTGCTACTCGGTGAACTGCAATTACACATGTTTATTTTAATTGTAACTATATTTTCTTTGAATCAGCTTTGCAAGGATAAAGTTTGTCAAAAAGAAGCGAATACTTTATTTGCAGTTATTTTCATTTTCCACGTTTGAAAATTTATCAAATATTTTGCTCGTTTGTTTTTTGATTTCGTTTATATGACTCACCCTGTACAACGAATAGAGTTCCTGGAAGAAAGAGTGAGTCCTACAAACATTATTTTCGATGTTATTGTATACAGTAATGAGCGTTAGAATCTGTGCTTCAAACAGATTCGAACTTAATTAGATACCAAAGTTCCTGAAATTTGTAACGACTGATGCTTCGAAACTTGATACGAAATATTGAAGCATGAGAACATAAACATCATTAAATAAATATTGCTAGATTAGGAATGTTTAAGCAAATATAGATAATTATCTAAAATTTAGTGTAAATGTATTTGTGGTAATTCGATGCTTAAATTGTTAATATTTTCTAATTTTCCATCGATATTTGATGTGATATGATTCACGATTCGCTACAAATTTTAAGAACTCCTGGTATCGGTTAATGTTCGAAGTTATTGAATCTAACGTCATAAATCTGATCTTCCGCCATTACTATTCAAGAATTCCCGCCATAACGATTCTGTTCATATCCAGTGTACATTCTTCCCGGTACTCTGTTATTGTTTTCTCTTTATAAATGGTCGTTTAAGGTATATCGATCGATAGAAGATCTTGCACTGATATGTTGGCTTCGATAGGTAACGCAGAAGCCGCCGGGTGGTGTTAAGAACAAAACGGAAAAACGGCAGGCCGATCAGCGGCAACGCGAGTCCCTGAAAAGACGCAAATCCTTGCCACGCCAGACAGAACAATCAACCTCTGTCAATCCTGAAAAGTCGATCACTCCTCCTGATTCCCAAGTCCCGATGTCCAGCGATGTCCCGATATCTTCTGGCTCCGTTGTAACGATGTCGAGCGCAAGCAAAAGTACGGCATCCGAGGAAAACGTTTCGAACGGTTCGACGGCATCGCAGGAGATCCAAGGATTGCCGCGCTTAGATACTGCGCAAGCTTAATACCGCGCAGGTTCACCTTCTTTGGCGCCACCTGTGCCTATATCCGTTCGCAAACGGAACCATCGTTCAATTTGTTCTGTTGCGTTTCGCAACGTCGTGTAGCGAATACTTCGTGCATAGTTTAGTTTCTCCGTCGACGCGGGTAATTCGAGTTAGTGTTGTTGAAACGGTCGTCGAGTCTCGAGTTCCCTTTTTGAAGCTTCATAGATATGGCGAGAAGAGTATTTAAGTAGTAGGAGAAGGAGCAGCGTGTGTGGCCCCGCGGATCACGAATTCGACAGCCCTAATTCACATAGTGAGTAAGAATAATTAATAAGATCTATCTGCATAAAGTGTTATTAGCTATCCCGAATAACAATGTATGGTTTAAGTCGTGAAGGCTCGAACCTCGAACCTCGAACTTCGTGTAAGTACCTATAAGCCTCGAAGTCTCGGTATTTAAGATTGAGCTTCGACAACTTCGAATACGTATACGTTTCACATCACTAATTCGAGACCTGTACAGGTGTAGTTGCTTGTTAATTTGTCGAAACGTTTAGATTAGTTTCGTACGAACGCGGATTTTGAGTTGCCGAGACAAATGATACGCGTGCGCGCGCGTTCAAAGGATTCTACTTCTCATGGACGGTTAAAGATTAACGGTAATATTCAAATTTCAAACACATAACTTAACGATACAAACGTTTTCAACGCGACGTTGATTAACGATGAATTTAATATCCGAGAATTTAAACACTTTTTTCAAACGAAATGTTAGGTATCGAACAATTATAATTACCTTCGTGGATTTAAGACTTTTGAAAAATTCAAACTATAGCTCTTTCGTACGATTCTCATTCGATGTACTATTCATTTCATAACTTGGAAACGAAGGAACCGTAAATTTTGTCAGAGCAGAGGAAAGAAGTCTCGAATCATTTGACCGCGAAGTTTCTGTTTGTTTTTTTTTTCTCGTTCTAATAAAAATGGATCGGTGTTGTTAGATTAACGTTGCTTGTTTTTGCGTGAGATATAGAGATAAGTTTTGTGATAAAAATACCTGATTAATAATTGGATTCGACCCGAGATACTCGTAGCACCAAGTAAAAAACAATTAAGTAGGGATAAACACGAAACGAGAACACCTATTGTACACGAGTAATGACTTAATTTAGTTATTACATTATGTTCAGAGCGATTAAATTTATATTATGCAGCCAAATAATAATTTAATAAAGATACTTTCTTTTGATACGGTAACTTTTAAATCTTGATTTTAATACGTTGTTTTTTAATGAAATAATAGTTTAAATAAATAAATACATTTCTCTGCGTTCGAAATAAATTATATGTATTAAAAAAAGGAAATATACATTATTTTTAATATCACGAGTATAAATAAGTTTCTAAATGTTCTAACTGTACATATGTATGTTTCTCATTAAATGTCTGAATTTGAAAGTAGAAGTTCTCCGAATAGTTTTAACCACTGAGGGAAATGTGACAACAAAACTGTTGCAGTATCTCTATCTTCCAAATGTATGCTTTCTAATATTCTTAATGTAGAATTTTTTGAATCAATTGTATGATACGTTGGTTCAATTCTTAATAAAATTATAACAGATTGCAAATTTCTTGGGTAAAGATCCAGTATATCTTTCTCTCGATCTTTGCAACATTTTTTAATATCAGTCAAAATTGTCTGTATAAAATTCATAACCGTAGGACAATACTCTAATTGTATTAATAATTCTTTTAAAAAGGCACATATTAACAAGAAAATACACGGAGACATACTGGCAAATTCAAACAATTGTTCTATCAAATTCATGTTCTCTGATATTAAATTATTACCATCTTTATTTACATCAAACGACGACACAAAATAGTTTAACAATGGTTGCTCTATTAACTTGAATCGTTGTGAATCGTATATGCTTTCTGTTGTTAAAAACTCCAGATTCAAGTTGGAGTTCTTTTGCACTGCATAGCATAATAATCGTTCACTTTCGTCACAGGGTTCCAATTCTAGAAGTTTTGAAAGTAATTTTTCCACATAACGTTTATAGTATGGATTTGTGGATGTTAAACACATCAATGCACTAGTAAGTGGCAATAAATTATCACTGGTTTCGCACGTATCTAAAACATCGTTTGTTAAATATTTTTCCAATAGATTTTTTAAGAATGCAGAAGTTTGCTTCTCATCTGTAAATATCCTTAAATGTTTAAAGACATCCGTAATTCTACACCAATCTCGTAGAACATCCTAGAACAAAATTAGGCTGTAAAATAACACAACGAAATTGAATAAACATTTCTAATCGGAAAAGTACATACAATTACGTTAAGTCGTACGGTATAACGCTGGCAAGCTTCTTTCGATACTTTGTAAGACAACAAATTCGTCAAAGATAAACACAATACATTAAATATTCTATCAGACGTTGGTAAAAATTTTCCTTCCTGACCTAATTTCTGACATTCTTCCGATTTTTCAAGATCTTTCGAGATGCTTTCGGAACTGTATATTATTGCTTTCAAAATCTTGCTATCCATACCTCATCGATACTCCTGGTCAATTAGTGAAACACGGTAATGATAACAAAAAAACCATAAAGCTTACATTGTTTTTTAAAATTAGGATGTAGGTAAAAAAATTGAAGCGTTGCTACAAGTGACGTTATTTCACTTTATAATAGGTTATCAATACAATGAACAAATTATTGTTTATTAAATAGGTATCGTTTCATTCGAATACATTTGTGTATATACCATTTAAATAAAATATACAAAATATTGGTAGAATTGAAATATAAACTTAATTTTGTGCTACAAAATAGTTATAAGTTTGTAGAGAAGTAGTTCCCAGTTTTGCCACTAAATGACCGATACTATAGTACCACACAAGTTCATATTACATAATTATATAAAAGTTTTTAAACAGCAAGCTTAAGGTGTAGTAAAATGATAGAATAATGAATTCAACGGTTAATAAGAATTATGTGTATAAGCGTGTTGTATCACAAAATCCTTCGATTAAGTATAACAATATGTCGAAAATTATGCAAAAGACAATTTGCAATACCGAGATCATAGGTACCAACACTCAGTATTTTACAAAGTAAAAAACATAAATTTGAATTATACAGTATGATTCGTAATAAGCTATATCTTTATGGTTGGGGTTAGGAAAAAATAATAATTTCGAAGGGACGACAAGTATAAAAATTACAAAAGTTTAAAAGAATATTTCAATAAATGGCACTTGTTAATTTATTTAAAAAATAATTTGAACTTTTTATACGCAGTTATAAAAAATGATTATTTTCAGTATCCTCGAATGTCGTGTAACAATATACTCAACATCGAAGGCATATGTTTAGTTTTCTCTACCACTGTCCCTTCAGCAAATTTTATTTTAATTCGTTTCGAGGATATTCGTGTAAATCGAATTATACATATAAGAATAACATTGCTCATAAAGATGTATCGTCCTTCCACGAGAAGAAGGCACAGTGTGTTACATCCCCACTCCAATTGCAGTCCACTGATTCACAGGTGTTGATTGAAAACGGTGACAGCCAATCAGTGGACTGCAGGAAGAGTGGGGATGGAAATGCACTCGGTGCATTGCAGTGTGCCTTCTTCTTGTGAAAGGACGATATGCTGTGTCCAGTCTTTCTCAAAATAAAATACAGATCTCAAGAAATAAATTTATATAAATTGTTTTATTATAAATACATCATTTATGTATGTACAGTCTATTGTCTTAGATATCAGTCTGCATAGTACAATTGTTGTATTGTATTAAAATCAAGTAGCGGGTCGATATATTTTTTCACGGAAATATTTAATTTTGAAATTACAAAAAATCTTATGAGTCGTTGATATAGCGGTTACGATTATTTTACCATTAAAATTAGCTTGCCCAGGATCATCAAATAAAATAATTATGATCTCGTAGAATTATTTTACAACCGTAGTATGCCTTCATACTTTGCTTTCATATCTTTTATTTCTTCCATTTCATCTTCTTCAATTCGCTTTGTTGCATTGCAGCATCACCAAAGATTTCTTTTACTTTGCGTTTGCGTTCCTCGTCATTCTTAATTTGTTGTTTGATTTGCAGTTTTGCTATGAAGGCCCTGTCCCTTCGTATTTCACGAACGGCGCCCTTCATCTCTTTCTTGTATTTATGCAATAGCTTTTCTCTCTCTGCTTTCTCTTTGGACATGGTCTTGTGCCTCTTCCCGTCGTATCTGTAAAAGCATTTAATACTTACAACTTACAAGAATTATATTAATATAAATAATGTAATCCAAACTTGTTACATACACGGTCTCGATTCGGGGCTCGTAAAGTCTTAGTGGTTTTGGCTTCTTCTTTTCAATCACCATATACTCTAACTTTTTATTTTTCAATTCTTTCAAGTCTTTTCGTAATTTTTTAATGTGATTCTTCACTTTTAACGGATACCTATCGAGGGCGTTTAACTTAAGTAAATTCAAAATTGGCTCAAATATTGTATACACTGCTTCTAATTCTTCAAGTTGGTTTTTGAATTCGCGTATCAAATTTACAGCTGTTAGTAGACTTCTTATTTTGAAGTCGTCGTCTAACTCTCCGTGTATTAAATCGGCTGCTTTCATAAGCGTGCTGCTGGGATCAATATCCAAATCAGTTTGATTTCCGTTAACTATTAATAAATTGCTTAATTCGCCCATTCTTTTAAAGGGTGGTATAATCTTCAGTCCCTGAATTACGTGCTTTGGTATAGATATGTAAATGACTCCACGTAAATAATTTATTACAGATGGTGCGAATCGCTTGCTTAAAAGCGTGTACTGCAAATATAATTTATAAACGTTTAGGATGCACATTATAACTTATTAGAGTAATACAATTTAAGACTTTTCTTACCTCTAAAACGAGCGTACATATGAAAAGACCTTTCGAGATATCTACTTTATTTTTAACACGGCATCTAAGTAATATTTGAGACATAAATATTAAGCAAGGAGTAACAACAGGGTGTCTAAAATCAGACGTTGGGAATATCAAAGAAACTAATTTGAAGAAAATAAGCTGAAACAAAAAATATTTGTCATAAGTTTACATTTTTTAATGTGCTTCTTTTAGTTGAATAATATAGCACGCGTACTGTATCTAAATCAGGATATTTCTTTTTATTGTTTTCAAACTCTTCGTGTTTTTCTTTAATTATTTCTTGTATAACGGTTCTAGCATTTTCTGGATTCATTTGCGCAAGATCGTACAGAAAAGGGGCTAATCTAAAATAATATATGTGTTCAACTGTAGATAATACAAATACTTAAATTTATAATTTAATAATTTTGTTACCAGTAAGCTGTGTATTACCTATCTATTATTTGGAAGCAATTAACTATGCTTTCGACATCGTCCTCTATGGCACAATCATTTAAGTGCTGCAGTAAAAATAAAAACAAACTTGATAGTTTTTCTTTATTTTTACCATCTAATGTCCAATGATTGCACTTTATAATACGATCTATGATAACCGACTGATATTCGGCATTACGATTGACCAATAGTTCCTGTAATTCTTCGTAATTTTCGGGTACTTTATAAGTATAAGGTAATTCTTTTCTCGCTTTCTCCATAATTTCTTTCCTTTTTAACAAGTCATCTCTAATTTCTTGCTTTTTATCATCATTGTTTAACCGATCGTCACGCGTATCATTTTTTGTCTTCAAAATTGACTTTCCTATTGCAGAACTGGAATTATTTTCCTTTGAAACAGCTTCGTTAGTTTTTGCAAATGTAACACTCTTTTTAGGCGACATACTTTCATCTTCGCTAGAAGATTCTTTTAAATCTGATAAATTGTCTTCATCGGAACTCGTAGTTTCCGAGATTTCTGCATCCGAATTTTCGTCTGGTTTGTTTTCTGTAGAACTTTTTGTTTTATTTTTGTTACTGTTCATTTGAGTGTCCGATTGGTCGTCTTTCTGGTCATTTATAGTTTTTCCTTCATTGTCAGAAATTAAATTGTTATCATTATCATTATGAGAATCATTACTGTCTGCATCATCGTCATCATTATTGTCGTCCTCATCATCACTACTAGAATCGCCTTCTGCGTTCTTGACCAAACTGTTTTCTTCGCCAATTGGTGCTTCATCATTTATAGTTTCTACCGTAAAACCATCATCAAGATCGTCCGCCGACTTGTGCCTAATTTCATTATTCGAATCATTTACAAATCCTTTCATTCTCGCTAATCGATCTGCTTCGAGAGCTTCCAGCTTTTCCTTCTCTTCCTTTATAATTTCTTCCTCTGATTTTAATTTATCCGACGGCATACCTCTAGCTTCAAACTTTAATTTTCGTACAGAAATGTCGTAATCATCAGCTTTTATCTTATCGACTGTTCCTTCGGGAATTTTATTAGCCGCCGTTACAATTGGAAGAAGATCCCTCCATTCGGAATCTAGTTTCTCGGTTAAATCTACAGTTTGTTCGCGTATCATCTGTTTCTCAGCTTTTCGTTTTTTTGATTCAGCTATAAGTTCATTTATGAGATCTTTTCTGGACTTTCCAGATTCCGATTTTGACAAAACGCCGCCGCCAAAGTGAGCTTCACCCACAAATTTATCTTCCAGTTTACCAGTCTTGTTCCCATCGTCGCTAGATTCATCATCGCTTTTCGGGTCATCAAACTTTTCAATCTCTTCTAAAGTTTGACCCCTGTGCGTTAACACCTCTTCATCGTTTAAACTATAAATATTTTTCTTTTTGTGAGCTTTCATACGTTCTTTGACAAATCTTGCCATAGCTTTGTCTTCGTCGTTCATTGAAATACCTTTTTCACCGATACGCTTATCTAAAAATATATTATCTTTATTTTTTAATTTATATTCTTGTAGAAGCGTTTTTTTGCGCTTGTTTATTGCTTTTGCTCGCGATACTCCTGGAAGTCCATTGTCTGCCTTGCTTTTTCTTCCCAAAACATTCTGTTTGTCCCTATTTATATGCACTTCAAACGGATTCAAGCGTTCTTTGTTCTGTTGACTTCGCTTTTGCTGAGAAAGCTCGGACAAAGATTTCTTTTTTGTTTTAACCATTGTCGAATACCTTTATATCTACATGAAGTGCATAAAAATTTGTATTCTGAAATAAAAAATGAAAGTAAACTTTTCCTTTTTCGAGTATATTCGTTCGATCTTTAAAATATTTATGAAATACTTTGGTATTTTAAGGGAAAATTTTAAGTTAAAGTTTCATTCATACTATTATTATTATGTTTTGTGTAACTTACAATATTATTAAAAAATACATTACGACACTAGTTATACGCGAGATAGTAATTTGAAAAAAAAAATTATTTCTCTTGTGAACATCGTAACTGTACATGCTTAAAATTATTCTTCTTACCTTTGTCACCAATAATTCAAATCTGTCTTTCACATATAATTACAAAATAATGTTTTTTTAATTTATAACCTTTCCTTGGAAATATGTGTCAAATTCAGATCAGCAATATATAATTTTTAACATGCACCGTGTAGTATTTGTATATAGTTAAAAATTATAATTATACAATTTGTATATAAGTATTTAATATAAATGTTAGGCAAATTCGTTGAAGTAGGTATCTAACGCCCATCCACGTGTATTTGACTTTATTGATACAATTTGTTAGTGTCGGGTTGATACTGGTTGACAACCACTGCCGATAGAACTTATAGCTTGTAGTTTCGATCTTGACGCAGTTCACATGGTACAGTGTGTGGAAAGGCTTTTGAGTTGAACACACTACAAACAACTTTCATGCATGGAAGTTATTGTTGCAATAAATGCTTTTTACCAAGCACTATTTCGAAGAATAAGTATCATAATATCATTACAATAAGGCTTTAAATTTCTTAAAAGTCTAGTTACAAAATTATTTTCTATACATTCTACCAATCAGAAATAAGAAGGCGCCTAGTCTTTTCATTGTTTCTGCAATATTATTGACAGGTTCTTTTTACGCGACAGTACCGCTATTCTAGTTATGAAGATATGTCAAGATCGAAAAATATATTGTAGACGTGTATGAGACATGTAACGTATAAAGACGATAAGCATTCCGAAAGAAAACATAAATGTGTTGTTTAAATAAAAAATGGATATCGAAACGGAGAATGTTATAAACCTTATATTTCCGGATGGTATAGAAGGTGACTTATGTTCATAGAGTTAAATATTGAAAATCTATTCACTGTTAGTGTCTCTAATGTTGTTGTATAGTTAAACTTTTTGAAACTATTGTAATTTTTTTTACCGAATTTTCAATTTTAAATATATACTTATAATGTATTTTTTTCAAAATAGAATCATGGAAAGAGAACCCTGAATTTTACCAGTATTTGTCAAAACTTGGTGGTTACGATGTTGATCAGCTTAGTGAGTAAATTTACAGATTTTTAAAAGAATTTACAGGGTTTAAAAAATGCTTATATTTATTAGGTAAAGAGCCTGACCATTTGAACGATGAGAGAACATCAGTATTGCAAACAACACAAGAGTTAGTATTTGCTAATTATAAAACGTTTATTCAAACAGCAGAAAGTTCCAGGGAGATATTTAAACAAGTAATAATAAAATAGATTTTGATAATTTCAGTATTATTAACGATATATTTACTGATTCTTTGTTATGTAATTTCAAGTTTAATCAAACCGAAAATCGGCTTGATGGGCTTGTACAAAAGATTCCCAAGTTTGTAGAGAAGTGCCAATTATTCTGTGATGCTTCTAAGGATATAAATGCTCATAGGAGAGTAAATAGTTTAACATTAACAAGAAATGCAGAGTTGCTGGAAGTACTTGAAATGCCTCAATTAATGGAATCTTGTTTAAGGAGTAATCAGTATAATGAAGCATTAGAATTATCTCAGTATGCACGTCAGTTAGGAACCAAACATGGAGATATTCCGATTATATCGGTATGATTTAATATAAAAAAAACACATAATGAAAAATGTACAGTAGTGCCCACATAAGTGTCCGCGCTCGGGGCCGGCCGCGGTCACTTAAGTGGACATTACTGTATTTCGCTTTATTCATTAACGATATAGTCCATAGTGGCAGAAATTGAAAGCAGTTGGTCAGGCATGGTAGGACAAGTTGTAGGGTCATTAAGAGGGGATTTACCGCTTCCAAGATGTTTACAGCTCGTCGGATTATTACGATCGATGGATGCTTTTACAGAACCAGAATTACGTATTAAATTTCTTCAAGCGCGTGATAGTTGGCTTCAAAGTCTTTTAAATGCTATACCCAAAGATGATCGTAAGTTAATTTGTTACTACCGATCGTTACGTGTACGATTTAATAACATTAAACGTTCATTTTTATTAGCTAATCTTCATATTACAAAAACAATCGAGTTATCAAGGATACATTTGTTTAATATAATAACACAATATAGGGCTATGTTTAACGATGACGAACTCATGATACCGGGAAGAGATCCGACTGTAAACGAGAGTGCCATATTTTATCATTGGCTAGAGGAAAAGGTACATCAATGGTTGTTTTAAGCTATGATGTGATATTATAGTTTAACTATTTTTTCCTCTTAGATATCCCAGTTTCTAATGACCTTGGAACAAGATTTACCTGGCGTAACGTCTATAGATTCCATTTTAGGCCAATGTACATATTTTGGTTTATCATTTGGTAGGGTGGGTGCTGATTTTACTGGACGAATGTCTGATATATTTGTACGTGTCATCGGTGAAAAATTTGAGTCCGGTGTTCGTAAAACGACAAAGAAGTTTGAAAAAGACATGGAATCATTTACACTAATTAATAAAACATACAAAACTAATATAAAAATGAACACTACAATAAAATCTGTAAGTAATTGCTTTCATTATTTATTCACAGATTTATATTATAGAAAATTATTTTCTGTAGGAGTATCCACCAGAACAATTAGTGGAATTTTACCCTTTAGCTGAATACTGTAATGGTCTTATATCTGCTTTCAACGAAATACGACTTTGTCCGCCGGTAGCACTTTCTGCTTTCTGTACAATCATTTTACAGGAGTCTTTATACAATGTAGCAAAATCTATATTAATTTTTTATAAACAGGAACAACAAGTAAATCCATACTTTTATTTTACGTAATTTTTTGGTCCATTAATTATATAATTATATGTTTGGTTTAACGCATTTTTTTTCAGGCATTTGCTGCAGCAGAAAGAGAAAATATGCTCAAATTCACAGAATGTTTAAGCGAACAATTGATTCCTTATGTACAGTACTGTATTCACGTTATTTTCCCACCAAATCAAATTGCGATTCATTTAGGCATTTCAGAGAATTTGCTACAAACTGAGGTATGCAAAGATGTCACATTAATTTCTAAAAATTTTCGTAAAAAAAAATTGAATTGCTTTCCTGCCAAATTATAGATATTATTTAACAATATACAAATACATAAAAATATTAAGTACATTTTCTACAGGGAATCACGTATTTAAATAGAGACAGTATCTTGGAACCTTTGGCTCTTTTATTACCGATTCCAAAAAACGGGAAAGATTCTATCTCTTCCTCATTACCTACCTCTAATACACAATCATTAGTAATGCAAAAAGTTTCCAATGAAGTATCTTTGACGTCTGAAAATACGGAAGTAGATGCAACTTTTGAACAATTGAAACAAATAAAACAATCTGAATTACACGAATCCGCAGAGCAAACAATGGTATCTACCGATTCGCAAGAAAAAACTGTGGTATCAAACAAAGATATTAAAATTAATGCAAATAGCTCGAGCGACGGTGCAAATCAGAATAGGTAACTGTAAATTGTTATCCGTTTCGCTCCATGTCGTTGTATACAAGAATATTGTAAATAAAAAAGAATAGTTTTTTAAGTTAATATCTTTCCATTTTCTGATACACGTTTACTAAAACTTCAATCCAATGCAAGAAACTGAATGCTTACATTTCTTATGAATTTATTAGTTTAACTTATTTTAATTATTTTTTATTACAAAATAAAAAATATTTCATTATTCCTATGGTTAATTGCTACTCAAAATGAAAAGTACAATTGTATTTTAAAAAATATTAAACCTTAGTGTTATGTTCAACTGTAGTAAATATTATTGCATCTTTTTCAAAATTTACATAAAATAATTAAACTATCCATAATTAATGTCATTTAGTACAGGGGTCTTGGTTAAGACCACTAAACATTATTACAGAATACAAAATAGATGTACAGTAGTGCCCACACAAGTGATCGCGGCTTCGAACATATCGAGTTGGTCGTTATCGATACATTGTATCGAGCGCCAGCTATTGTATCTCACTCGCACTTAACCTCTTTCCTTATCTCCGTTGAATTCCGAGAAGTAACCATGCCCACATAAGCGACCGCGGCCGGTCCCGAGCGTGGTCACTTAAGTGGGCGCTACTGCACAAAGAATTTTAAATAACTAATTTTTCATTTGTGTCATTCGAAATATCATGATTCCATAAACACTAGCTCCAAATTTTGTTCAGCTTTTGGTATTACAATATCACTAGATTTAACTGTAAAATGTGGTTTTTTAAAATCATTGTTGTAAATTTTAGTACTTATCTGTCTACTTTTCATAACATTTGCTTCTGACATATTGTTTATTATCAGTCTTTTATATTCTTTCCTTATTTTACTCTCATTATGATTAAATATATTTGTTTGTTCTAATTCGATATTTGATGCTGTGACAGGATATTTTGGATTTAGTATATCTTGTTTAATTTTTCTAACTTCTCTAAGCAACTTTTCATATTCGTCTTTCTCCTCTGGATTTTCTAACGACATATACGATCTTTTTCTTTTGAAATGTCTCATAGATATTTCGACACAAGATTTTTCCTCTGCGTTTCTATAATGATTATCTAAATGTGTTTGTAACTTTTTTATTTCTTCTTCCTCTTGTTTATGCCTCTCCCTTAATGCTTTCAAGCGTATTCTTAATACATCACAGTCTCGTTGTGCTTTTGTATATAGATATCGTATTCTTTCTGTTGATGTTTGAATCCGCCTAAACAATTTTCAACTTTAAAAATGTTTAATATATTAAAGTTTAAAAATCATATTTATTGTTGTTTATGATACATACGTATAATCTCTTGTTAACTCTCCTTTCCTAGTATATGTAATTTTTGATGTACATGTATTTTTTGTTTCCACTACAGTGCTCTCACACTTAATGGGTTTCTCTACTACAATAGGTATTAACTTGAATATAACTGGTTTTGGAGAAATAACAATGTTTGGTACATAAACTTTTTGATCAGTTTTTGCATTGTTATTCGTTACATTCGTTTTACTATGATTGATATTCTTGATAACATTCAACACATTTTTACTTTCATTCAAATTTGACACAGGAGGTTTATTATATTGCTTGTTTATAGTTATTTTTAAAATTGGTACTTTTGTTGTGACTTTGACATTTGAAACTTTTTTTAATGTATTTGTACTCATATCCTTAATACTTGGTACTGCTCTGTTGGATTTTGAATTTAGTACTTTATTAGAGTTGAATTTTGATAAAGCTTTATTAAATTGCATCTGGGTTACAGGAATCAGTTTCCTAATTCCTATATTGTTTAGAGACTGAGTTTTCAATTTAGGAATTATAGTAGGCGGTTGCATTATCAAAAGATTATTTTCTTCACTTTCATCTTTTAGTATGCTTAAGTTATTAACCTCCCGATGCATACTTGCATTTGCTTGCATGAAGTTGGCAGGTGAAAAACTGCTTTAAATTGTTGCACTGTGCTAATTTTCTGGACATATCTTTGCCCTTAAAATGTGTAACACATATACCATAATCATTAGAGGGATACTAAGTTTCTCTATTACTAGCTCATTTGCAAATAGTATCTTATTATGCAAAGGAAAACTACAATCTACAGAAACTTAATAAAACACATTACTTATTCAACATTAATTGTCATTGTAATCGGATAATGGTTGTACTTAAACTACGCTATACTTGCGATAAGTTCGTTTCTAACTATCGCAACAAAGAATTCGCACTTTTGTATTGTATACAATTAACCTCCGCCTGTAATATCAATCGTAATGTGTTAATTCAAAATAAAACAAACGATATGATATTACATATTGTACGTTAAGCAACAATGATGTTTGCCCTGGCAAGAGAAAGTCACTAGTTTCAGCACTAATGAGAACGTTTTATTTTTTAAGCAGGAATTTTAATTCGTGTCAAAGCTAGTAACTTTTTCTGCAAATGATAAAAATCATTATAGTTGGTATACAAGTCGAAAAAATATACTAGGCGTTAGCCAATCAAAAGGGGTCCACGCAAAAACGAAACCGTAATAAAGTAATCGTCTTTGTGTTGGTGTATAGTGTCTAACGTTGAGCACGTGCTTTTATGTTGACTAAATGAGGTTATAACGCTCAAAATAATTGTTTCCCAATCTTTTAATCGGTTTTTGTTGATTGTAACGAGTAGTACCAGTGTTGTAGAAACTATGTCGAAAACGAAAGAAAATAGCTTCAGCGGATGGAAGCCACTGAAATTAGACGGTTCTGTATTTACGGGTGGTATGGATGGTTTAATTGGCATAGAGGAATTAACTGATTATAAATTGGAAAGAACAGATAGTAAAACGAAAATTTCGATTTGCGAGGAGAAAAGTAATAAAGGAAAAGATAAGGTGAGAAAGAAAATGATTTTTACGATACTAACGACGATGAGACTTATTATTGTGGAAAGTCGGTATGGATAATTCTTGTGTGGTTTACAGGCGTCATCAAAGCGTAAAAATTTAAATAAATGGCAAGAAGATAGTATCGATAATGACGAGCCTGTATTAAAAAAAGTAAAGATTAAAAAACGTAAGAAAAGCAATAAGAAAATAATAACAAATCAGTCTGTGAAAGATGATTTGGATATTAATTCTAATGATGATTGTAATCAAAGTACTGATGATGAAAGTAATATGTATGATACTGATGTCCAAGTGTGGAGTAATCTAGGTGTACCTACAATTATAATAAAAGCATTAAGAGATCAACAATTTCATTCACCTACTACTATACAATCATTGACCCTACCATCAGCAATATTAGGTCACAGAGATATATTGGGTGCTGCTGAAACAGGTAGTGGGAAGACATTAGCTTTTGGGATTCCAATTATAAATGGCATTTTGGAATTGAAAAGCAAAGAGTCTAATAAATCAAATCCAAAGTCTATCAACTCTAAGAACAAAGGTTGGATTTGTACAGAAAGTAAAACTGTAGAAAACAGTCACAGTTCATCTGAATCTGATTATGAGGGGGATGATATTAATGAAAGTATAGGTTGCATACGTGTAATCAATAATATAGAAATTGATAAACCAAAAAATTATTTACAAAAGCCACTATATGCATTAATCTTAACACCAACTCGCGAATTAGCTGTTCAAATAAAAAATCACCTGACTAAAGTAGCAAAATATACTGATATTAAAGTGAGTATTTGGGAATAGAAAATGAGTCAAGGGAGTTAGGATTGCTCACTAAATATTTATGTTATTTAGATAGCAGTAGTGTTGGGTGGGATGGCTGCAGTTAAACAGGAAAGAATATTAAATAAAGGTCCTGAAATTGTAATTGCTACACCTGGTAGATTATGGGAATTAATACAGCAAGGTAATCCACACCTTAATCAAGTGGATTCGATTAAGTAAGTTTTATCGAGTACAGTAGTGCCCACTTAAGTGACCGCTTAACGGCCGCGGACGCTTAAGTGGGCACTGCTGTACCTTCTTCTTGTGCTCAGTTTGTAATTATAAAAAAATTAACAACGTTATAATAGGTATTTAGCTATTGACGAAACTGATAGAATGTTGGAAAAGGGGCATTTCCAAGAATTACAACAATTACTAGAAAAAATAAATATGCATAAAAACAAGTTAGAGAAACGACAGACGTTTGTATTTTCCGCTACATTAACCATGGTGCACGATATTCCAGAGTATTTGCAAAGGAAAAAAAATAAGCACCATAAAAGCAAGATATCCAAGCTTACAGCTAGTCAGAAATTGCAAAAAATAATAGAATTAGTAGGAATAAAAAATCCAAAAATTGTTGACATCACGAAAGAATCAGGTTGTGTATTTTTACATAAACTAATCAAACATGTTACAATTAGTGTAGCAATTCAAAACGAATGAAAATGTTTTTCCCTTAGGTACTGCTAGTAATTTAACGGAATGTAGAATAGTGTGCACAATAGATCATAAAGATTATTATCTTTACTATTTTCTGAAAAGGCATATCGGTAGAACATTGGTATTCTGTAATAGTATTGGCTGTGTAAAACGCCTGGCTACTCTTTTTGGGATTCTTGACTGCAAACCTTTACCTTTGCACGCCAGTATGCAACAACGACAACGATTAAAAAATCTTGAAAGGTAATAACATTTTAATAAATAAATCTTTCAATAAAAAACAGTAAACAATTGTAGATTCCAGGCAGATAAGGATGGATTATTAATAGCTACGGATGTAGCTGCAAGGGGTTTGGATATTCCGAATGTCGAGCATGTGATACATTATCAAGTTCCCAGAACAAGTGAAGTATGTACAAACGGGATTCTTCTTTTTTTCTGATCCTGATTCTTGTCTTTTACTTTTAATTATTTTATAGAGTTATGTACATAGAAGTGGAAGGACTGCAAGAGCACAGAAAGAAGGAATAACAGTTCTCATGATGGACCCATCTGAGAAACAAAATTACACAAAATTGTGTAAAACGCTTGATCGTAGTAAGTGATCAAATTTAATAATATTGCTAATTGATAATTCTGAGGTGAATTAATTAACGATTCAATTTCAGCGGAAGATTTACCTACGTTTCCTGTAGTAGATAGGCTGCTAATTGCAGTCAAAGAAAGAGTCGATATAGCTCGAGAAATTGATAAATTAGAATTAAAATGTCGCCGAGATAATTCACAAAAGGGTTGGTTACGTAAAGCAGTCGAGGATATGGATTTGGTCTTAGAGGAAGATGAAGAGTGAGATTCAACAAATTCATAGTTATCACCTGGCATTACTTCTCTTACAACGAAGATAATTTTATTTTTCAGAGAACTGGAATTAGAAGTGAAAGAAGTGGCAGATTTAAAACACCGATTGAAAGTGAAAAAGCGCCAGTTAGAGTCTCTTATATCGAAACCACTATTTCCAAAAGGATTTTCTGGAAAATATCTCGATACTAATATTGAATGTAAGTTAAACGAAGAAAACCAGAAAGCTGTTGACGTTATGAAACACGTTATCGAAGAAATTCCAAAGAAACGGAAGGAGGAAAATAAGAAATCTAGGTATAGGAAAACCATTCTCAAAAAGAAAAAATCAAAAAAATCGAAAATAAAAAAAGCATCGTAACGTGAATTTATACGACGAAGGGAAATAAACAAATATCTGATAAATTTTTATAGATCTATTTTATTGTCTACACTCGGTTTCTCGGGTAATCATTTATATTTTCCTATCGCGTTAGCTGAAACAAGTTTTCGAAAACGTTGTTTCAATTTTTTTTTCTCACAAATATTACATCGATTCTGTCATTTAGAAAAAAAAAAAACTTGAGCCTTTCACTCATTAAAATCTATTCAATTTCATTGCTACTGTTAGTACATATGGCAGAGGTATGTACATGCAACTATTATGGTTTCTACAATATTAAATGTCATTTTATGGTGCTCTTTATATAATATAATACACATTCAATTCGTAATTGCGCGTCGAAAAACGATCGACGGATTTTTCAATCATCAAACACAGCCGGTTAACTTATAATTAGGAATGGGCACGTTTGAGTGATTTTGCGATTGAAATACATCTATTAATTATTTGTTACCTAAATTAAAATCTACTGGATATCGAAACCGAATAAAGTATTCTGCACTTACTCAGCTATCGAATGTCAATGTACTCGATGTTCACCGATCAGGTAATTATGAAATTCCTGTTTACCTATACCGTACGCGAACACATTTTGCCCATCCCTGCTTATAATTATAAAATTCATCGTACTTAAAATATCGTGTTGTATATAACCTCGTCCTCCGTGCTGATTATCGAGTCGATTCGCTCGCTCGTTACCATCGAGTTCGCGTATCGATCGTTGCTAATCTTGCTCGGTAATTCCGCGGCCGAGTCGCGTCCTTTCACGATAATTTTAATCCTGGCCATCACGTGACTACCGGGACACTTTTGGACCTGCGCAGCCGCGTTCTCACAGATCTCCGCGTAAATATCGTCAGCTTTGGTCCTGGTTAGTTTTGGAAGGGATGGCACTGGCGTGAGACTGTCTCTGACTCGTGAATAATTGGGCTGAAGTTCGACGTTCGCTGGCATCTCTAAAACGCTCGTAGAAACCGATCTTTGTACAGGTTGCTTGGAGTTGGAATGACTCGGATGCGAGGTAGTTTCTGGCTCCAGACTGGAGTAACGCTCCTGACACCTAATTGCGACTTCGGGCTTCACCGCGAACGTAAACGAGGCCGACTTTTTCGCCGGATTTCTGCTACGACCACCCTGGGTAAATTTCGATATACGTTCCAGGAACCCGTTTCGAGAATTTTGTCTGGTCTGACTCTTCTCTCTGACGGTGGTCTTTTTCAGATGTTCCAGCCCGTCCTTCAAGCTCTGCAAGATGGGCTTCGTTTCCGTCTTGGGTTTGATCTTCTTCAAATGCATCTCCTTCAAGTTTTCGCTGGTCGGATGCAGCTTCAAAGGCGCCACTCTCGGTTCCGTTGCACGATCACCGACCGCCCGGCTGGAGTGGAAGAACAGGTTAAGCAACATAGATTATATATTTTCAAATGTTTTGCATCTTTCGAATATCGCGGTAATACGGGACACAGTACGGTATATTATCTTACATCGGTGATCGCGTATAACGTATTTCTGATCTATCGATATTCCGTTGATTTATCGATTGTTAAACGGTTCGTACCTAACATCACGATATTCGAACGACTACGAGCGTAGCAATGTAAACGGGGGGACTGGGAACGCGTTAAATACGTATAAAAGTATCGACACAGTGAATCAAAGGTAAAATAATGTTTACAGATATGTGATTTACCTGCAGGCAGATAGTAATCGTTGCATTTTTGGCGATGCCAACAGTCTAGCTTCCGATGGATAACCTAACCGCGCTCTTCTCACTCTCGGAGCACCGCTTCCTGTCACCACGAGTTCGAGCATTTCGGGATTGTGAACTGGCCTCTCTGGTACGATACATCCTAGAACTATGGGTCCTCGTGTCGAACTCTCCAGCTGCATCAAACCACCATATTCTCTTGGCAACGGTACAGGAAGAGGACCAGCTATCAAACGAACCTGAAAAACATGAATCTTCAGCGATGGTGACGAGACAACAACGGTGAGTCGTAATTGAGGTTAACACTCTGGTATTGCTTGTCAAATTTTTCTCGAACATTTTAATGATTCGACAAATATAATTTGAATATTTCATTTGAAAGAGTAATTTGCTAAGGTTCATAGAGTTTAGTGGCGACACTTCTTGTATTCGCCAGCAGAGGGCTATGCTCTCTCGCAAGTATTTGATCGACCTCATAGTTCTATATATACGCTCCTCGAGTGACTATTTAGTATCCTGTTGTTTAAAAGAGGGATTGCTAGGGTCAGGTTGTCTTTACTATATCAGACCTTTTTTTAACACAGATTCATTGACGGTAATAAAGAATGTATTAAAAAAATACTCACTCTTAGAGGTAAGGGTCTCTTCGCGAGGTGGTGCACTTTGTACAGCACCTCGTCGCTTCCGGTATCGATGCTTCCGTTTTGACAAATGGCATAAAATTCGCCTCTCGCCGACAATGGCGCAAACACCTCGCGGCCATGGGGATCCAAGCACTGCGCGTACTGATCCTTTTCGGAAGAGCTACCGGAAATCCCGAAGGAGACCGCGCTGCACTTCCTCGTGTCCTGGAACACCGCTATTAATCTTAGAATTTCTCCGGCCCTGATCGTAGTCTTCGTGTAGTGAGCTCGTAAATTGCCATTTTCTGCGAACAGACAACACTTTTTGTAACGCGGAAATAAGATAAATTCAATTACAAAAGAAACAAACATAAATAAAATATGGCCGAAGTCACCGAAAAATGGCAATCTTTATTGTTAGTTTTCGAGAAATCCGACCAGATAGTTATTTCGTTTCTAATATTTTCAAGTACTCTATCAGCAGTATTAATAGCTCCAGTTTCAAAACAGAAATCGAAACTCGGATACCGGGCGGTTTTACGTCACTTTTATCGCCGCTTTATGCATTTCTGTCTCTGCACAATCTATTTACCGCATTTAACTTTCTGCTTCCGCTACGAACGTGTAATTTGCACATTCCTCGTATTTATCTTTTTACTGGAGCCCAGAGTACGCACGTTGATATTTATACATGCATTTGGGTCAAGAACGTTGTTCCTGGATATTACGAAAGGTATTACGTTCACGAGCGTCATTATTTTTCATTCTATCTCTTTGGTCGTTGCTTCCTTGTACAATTCCCTCTATTTTTACGCGTTTGCCCGCTTCTATTATATTCTATCTATCTGCCACAGTTTGTTATTTCCTATTATTCGTTACCCCTTGCAGCTGTACCTTGCTCTTCCCTTAATCACTTTTATTCTAACTGTAAAGTTTTTTTTACAATCCACCAACACTTAACCTTTGTTTCAATTTCAGTTTCGATTGGATTCGCTAGATAAACCGATGAGTTCAACTTTATAAGATACAGGATTAATTGAGGTCACGTTTTATAACAGGTTATAAAACAGGTTTTATTACTTTCCCGGTTGTTATTGAATACAAAACATACAGATTTTGAGAGCGAATGGGTGTTTGCAGTGTAGGTATACGTTACACGCATTGGGCGTGCATTTATATTCATATATGAAATCAAGTTTTCTTTTCTTCGATTCTTCCCTTCACAGAAGAAGGACGTGTAGTAAATGTACTGTGTAGAGCCAGATCAGGCCCAGCAGTCTCCTAAGTGCTTATTTTGCTTACAGGTTGATTCACTTCTGAAGGGGATCGATTCGAACGGCTCACCCAGTATACAATTCGACTTACAGGTAAAGCTCCAGAACGAATTAACCGTGTAAGTCGAGGACTCGTATTCTGCAGTCCTCTCTCGTTCCCTTTTGTCCATTCTTTGGTTCCCTTTACGCCGTCCTTATCTTCCCTTACCCTGTTCTACGCTCTCTTATTGTCTTCTGCATCTCCTCTTTCGTACACACTCTCGTCGTCAATCTCGATCGGATTTTTTCATCCGCTGACCCGTGCTCTTAATTAAGGCCCCAGAGGGACACGAGCAGATCGGTAAAAAGGCGATGGCGCAAGAAGTTAATTCACGGATCGCTCGACTAACGAGGTCCTGCATAGCCCCGTGCGTATGTCGCAACGGCAAGTCAGATTCTAAGCCTGATGGATATTCGTGTCCGCGATATCGTCACTTACCCATTTTCGAGTGCGTCAAAATGTACGCCCGCAGTGGCGCCGCCAGTAGAAACGTTGGCACTCCTGCTCGCACCAGGGAGTCCACTCTTCTGTAAACGCGCGCGCCACCCGTTGTATTGGTGCCAGATATCACAGAAAACCATCCTGAAACCAAAAGAAATGGAAACTCAGCTAATTTGTAAAATAAAGCGGTGAACGTAAACAATTTTAACGCAATTTAATATTTGAATTCATGTTATAGGTATCTTTGGTCAGACGGTGAAAATTAATGCTACGTGTAAGTGAGATGTCGTAAGAGTTCGTGCTTTCGATTATAACGTTTAAAAGGAATGCCCCCTGCATAAGCATTAGGCGTACAGGAATAACAGTTTCTACGATTGAATGCAAATTTCACTTCTCAATTACTTGGGGAATAATGATATTCAGATTCTAACAGGGAACGTTTGCGGTCGTAGCTAGTATGTTAATAGAATTTATAATAAAGGAAGTGACATTTCAGTTTCATTATTATTGAATCTTTCGCCCGTATACTTACACAAAGTAAGTTCATTCAGCCGTGTATTTGATTTTCAAAGGTATTGCTTTGCACAATCGTTACGCTGAAAGTATTTGTTTCCTCTGAACTATCATTCATTGAATGAGAAGTTGAATATCTCTTCTCGTGAAAAATTTGACGAATGTATCGAACGTCAAGGCACGGCATAATTAATGAATAAGTGGCTGAATAACGCTGATAACCAAGTAGTAGTTTAAATTGATCCTCGTAAAGTAGTTGGAGATTTTAATTATTTAAAAATACAAGGAATGTTCCTTCCGACATTTAAATGTTAGCTTAGAAAATATTCATTCTCTTCGTTTTTATTGGACAGGGTACACAAGAGGACGGGGCAAAAAGATGAGAATGAACATACTTACACGCGTGATAAAAGCTTCATCCGAGATTTATGAAGATTATGTTAATGAAATGCAGCGATCGTGCTCGGTAGCGGGATAAATTATGAGCTCGTAATTTTGAGTACGAAGATGATGTTATAAGGATAAATAATTTTGCATCGAAGTTACATATGTAACGTTTAATAGCGGATAAATAGAAGCGGACTAATTATGATGAAAGTAAAAGGAGCCTATTTTCATATATGATTCATATCGTGAACGAGGACGTAGCGCTATTAATTTTCAGAATTAGTTATGGAATGTTAATTCTTAGAGTACGATAGAGCGCGACGACTATACCTGCGCAAGAAATACGTCTTCAGCTAGCTCCTGCGCAGGTATAGTTGTCGTTTCCATCGTTCTCCGCTGGCGGCGCTACTGGTAGTAAGGGGACACAACTATTCTTTGGTCCACTGTACATATGCTTTGTGTGGTTTCATCCCCTCCGCTGTGTGCAATCGGTGCAACGTTGCAGCGTCGCCATCTAGTGTTCGAACAGCGTGACAACGGAGGGGGTAACGCGAACTGAGTCATTGGTCCCTCGGGCGGTATACGATTCCAGTGTCATCGGGTGTACATTAATGCAGATAAGAGTTAAAATGTAAAATTCTCTAAAAATACGGTACCATCATTATTGCATCAGTCTGGTTATTTTATAGCCGCGTCTCGCGCACGGCTATAAAACGATGATTCGCAAAAAACAGCTGTAACTCAGAGGCAAGGTCGAACGAGTCATACGAACTTTTTAGACTCTTTCTACCCAACGTGGAATCCATTTACCCCAGAGATATCCTACCAATAATGAAACGTCTTATATACTCGCGTAGCTGATCCGGGGCATAAATCAGTGGGAACGTTTTCAGATATCGCCCCGGACGAAACAGATTTACGTTCGGGTTCGCCGCGCATAAAAACCACCCGGCCGTATTAGCCCATCGTCCAGCGCGAGTACTCAATTACCCCGGCTCTTACAAAGTCGTCCGTGGACAGCATAAGTTACGGGACACTAAACAAAATACCTTTGCAGCTTACCGTTTCGTGACGTTAACGGGCTTTGTTTCGCAGTATATTACGCGCAAGTAATTCACGCGGTATATCGTCCGGGCGGAACGTTTGCCGGGACGGGGCGGAGGAGGGTGGCGGCCGGGCGCTGAATTATATTACACCCTCACGCACATGCGTATTCGGCGAACGGGGGCCTACGTCTTGAGGCCGGTGTGTGCGACGGGTAACGAGAAACGTGAGAAGAAATATAACGAGATGCTTTTAAATTATAGTTAAACGCGTCGGTGAATACGGTGTGTGGCCTCGTATCGGCCGCTAACCGATGCACGTTATGCATATAAAATTACCCCGCGTTGTTATTATAGCCGGCGACGAGTTACAGCCCGCGATTCGGGTAATTGCGATACAGTTTAAGCCAGCGTGTCTCGATGTATGGAGGGGGGACACGACACCTAGAGGGATCTTAGGGGGCGCGCGAAGGAATATTTTAAATATAGAAGGATCAGAATGCAGCGACACTTTGCGCGCTCGCCACCAGAGGGCTACGCTCTTGATTCTCTCGCAAGTGCTCGAGTGCTTTACTGATTAGTTCACTAGATTCAGAGCCACGATTGTAATCAGAAAATATAAACTTTGGTCATAGAGACAAGTGGGAAGTCGGTTTTAAGAAATGATGGGGATTTGCAAGGCACTCGTACATCGATCATAGGAATAGAATGGCTGTAGCAATATATATGGGGGCACGAGGCTGGAATTGGGACTTCCTGGCTCCTGTCAGGTCGAAAACCCCGATCGAGCTGATGTTCTCCTATACCTGGGCTATTATCTCCATAGTAGTCCGGTGCAGAGAATTTCCGGCGAAGTTGGTGGGCCCATTCTGGTCAAATCCACTCACCTCACCTCCACGTGGGGCCCCCGGGACCCTGTATCGACTTACGTCAGTACAGGGTGCGAACGAGTGAGTGGTAAAACTCGGTTTTTATATAGCAAGACCCCGAGAGAAAAGATCGTTACGTAATCGGGAATTTTTTTGTCCATAAATCACGGGCGTAGAAATTCCATAATGGAAATAAAATTTTGTCCATGTTTGGATAGTGAATGTCGCGGGATTTCCACTGAAACGCGCCGGAAACCGTCGAGTTTTCTTCTGTCTGTAATTGGTCGCGTTCTCCGAGGCGCGCTCGCGCGAGCCGCGGGACCGGAATGCGACTGGTCATTGCGTTTCCGTTTAATTTATTCTCGGAGACAATGAGATCGTTTTGATCTTGGAAATATAGCGCGTGCATGGTTTTTCGGTTTCACTAACCCTACCTTCGCATATCAAACATGCTGAAACTTTTAGTGAATTATAAAATATTTTTCTTTACTAGATGTATTTTTTTTTTTAGTTTGTATTATACATGGTATAATATTTTGTATTGTACTTTGCAGTGAAATGTCGCGAAAGTCTGACGATCAGATTTATTTTCATCAGACCAATACTATTGGGTACCATAGATAAAGATGGACAAACCATTTGGTCCAGGATACACGAGTCCTAGTATAATACGAAATGAGAATAGTAACAATGTACAGAGTAACTTCAGGTTACATGTTCCTTCCTTATTGCGATCGTGAAGTTGTTCCCCAGAACTATACTTTACCGTTTGCCAGTTTCCTCGAACGGTCCACAAATACTTTCTCACGAATGTTTGAGATTGTGTGGATATTTCAATGCTACGGATATACTTCGAACATTTGAGTATACGAATGTTACTGTTCAACTTATTATATTGATTTTTAAGAAAAGTGCAGGGTGATTTCAGTTCTCGAGATACAAGCAAAAGACTATTGCGTATTCACTAAACAGTAAAATATTCAAATAGTATTCTGACAGTAAAATTCAAATGTAAATTATCGCGCGTAGCTTCCGAATTACGAGTTCTATTTACCAAACGTTTGAACGACAATTTGAACGAGTAGTCGCAGCCCTATTCGAGACTGGTTAAGCATCTCCATTTTGTTTCACGTTCGATTTGTCCTCTTGGGCGATCCAGTCGACCACAAACGATCCGCCGAAGAAAAGAAATATCAATCTACTTCCAGGTATTACCGTGCTTTGGACTATTGCTCGTGTTTTGCCTCGTTTTCTCCGGCCGGTATAAGATCGAAGTTGCCGTTATGTCATTCGTAACGGGCTTCCATGCTACGTCTTCGGGAATAACCATCGGTATGGTAACGTTCCAACGATAGGCGTGTATACTTACGCATGATTTACTGGCAAACGCCAATTTTACGCTCCGCGCGTTTCGCATTTTCCATTTCGTTTTGCGGATCATAAGTAACGCGCGTAATACGCTGTTCTGTTATTCTTGCTAATTTACGAACTCCTTGGAGACTAGCGCGCTCCCCGATGCGCGTGCAATTACGGTAACTGCGCGGCGATCAGCGTACAAAATAAAATTACGACGTTCTAAATGTTGTGTACCGTTCCACGTTGTTCATCCTCCGTCAAGTTTGGCACAAATTGTTCCCTGGTTCGTGCTCTACACTGGTTTTTTTTAGTCGTAATCATCCTGTATCGGGATCGGGAATCAACCACCGAGGGCACTTCATTAAACAGCAATTTTCGAGCGAGTTTATAAGTCGTATGCACGGTAAAACCGACGGAATATCTTTTATCGCGAACCCTTATTTGATGATCAAGAAAATTTATTGAATTCAAAGTGATAAATCGTTTGAATAAAACGAGAAGACTTCGGTGTAAGAACTTCCTAGAAATAGTGTTTGTGATGTTTGGAACAATAATCAATGACCTGGTGTATTTTTTGCATCTTGGAAACTAGTGACTGATGATGTGCAGTGTCTCTAGTTACTCAAGATGCCAGTTGATCAGTGTTGAGGATTGCAAATTACTTGGACTGCAAGTGGTACCTCACGAGGTTGAGTATTTATATCTCAAACCCTTTGAAATCTCAGGATTGGCAAGATGCATAAACGTTAGTCCTCCAGCAGGCTGATGAGGTTGGGCCATCATGGCAGTTTATGAGTTACGGTTGATCAGCTGGGTCCATCTAGAGACAGTAGTGGTTCGAACAAGCTTTGGAACCGATCGGTATAGATACACGGAGCCTACAGTATAAAGTGAAACAAATCCATACATATTTCTCTAAGCTAATGTCGAAGAAAGAAGAAAAACAAATGGACTCTGAAACCTATTTTCAAACATTGGGGGGGGGCCAGTGTACGGTACTGTGGATGACACTTCGCGTACTCGCCACGAGAGGGAGTTCTCTCTCGCAAACGCTTACCGAAAAGCCTCACTAGCAAGTCCAGAACGACATAGCAAATCGCCATAACATCAAAGGGAGCGATAAACCAGAGAAAGCTTGAGAACCACTGGTCCCAACAGCCTATCTAAACCGAG